AATAAAAGAACATTAATTCAAAATAACTTGGCTCTAGCCCCAATCGTAATTTATCATTTCTTTCTTCTAGAATATTAAAGAAGCAACCCGCTCTGTGAAGGAAGCATTGTACCTGTTATCTCAAACTAATATTACGATGCCAGAGTTACCTCCGCTTGATGGTTGGGCGTAATTGATTTTCCTTTTTGGTGCAGAAACGTTTAAGTTTTTATACAACTTACTATCTGTGCAAGAAACATTTTTAAGTATAAATATCTGATTCTTTTGTATAATACCGAACGTTTATTAATTCTGTTCATATTTTCACATTTCTACTGTTATATCCAGTAGCTTAATTTCGTGTAAATGATGTATACATCCTATGAGTTGTATTTACATGATAAGATAATTATTAAAATGTTTTTGTATTTATTTACTTTTATACTGTTCTCATTTTTTTGTTGCGATAAATTTTCGTACAGTACAAATATTCCACTGAAAAATGAAGTTTACTAGACAAACTGCGTTTTGCCGAATGCATTCACGATTAATATATTTAACCATGGTCTTTTGCAAATGTTATTCAGTGAAAGTGTCATTAATTGGCATTAACTTGACAATTTTTGACCTTTCACTCTAATTGGTTGAGCTATTAAGTCAACTATCAACTTGCTCTTAGTTAAACCGTTTTCTGTAAAATGGTAATGAAAAATAATGGTCAAGTTTATCCGTCAAATGAGCTATGTATGCACAGTGCTAGAAAGTAAATAGCCAGGATATGGAAAAGAAAAAATCAGGTTTCTCAGTGTTACGGGCTATTTATATCGATCAACCTAAAAACCTCAGTGTCACAGTGATCCGACATACTATCATATTAACGCACCAAAAACCTTACACTTTCTCAGTGTTCATCATACCATATTTTAGTCTGGGGATATCTGTTTTGTATACTTTAGTTTGTTGCACTATGGTATGAACTACACGGTAATGTACCCATCTTATTAAATACCAGATAGTTACAAGGATGAACTGAAGTTATAGAGTAGTTTCAAATGCACGTAAACATAATAACTTTTTGGGTCGTTATATTACGTATTTTAGGGTGCTTCGTGTTCCTCAAGTGATTTCTTCCTGAAGTTAAATGGGTTTAGGGAACATTCCTATTCAATCTTCGTCGGCGTTAATCAATTTCATTTTATTCTTTGTAGTTGTGTGACTAATTTCATATGGCAATGAGCAGCTGAGTATGATGTGTTTCGCGACAACTGATAAGTATTCAATAGTATTGTACAGTGACTGAGGACCGACTTAAGAAGGGCTGACGAAGCCTTCTGTGAATAACCGATTGGTGCAATAAGTAATCATATAATATTTGTTTACCCGGCCTGTCTCTGAATATACCTAAATGTGAAATGAGATCGGTTTGCGTAATAGACGGTAAGAAGCTTTATGAAGACCCTTACAAAATTAAGTCTAAACAAGCGTTGGTTTACATGGTGAGCCTACACACGTCCAATTTCCTGTACTGTATATGGTACTGTAGGGTCATATAACGATTGAATGTTGACTGTTGTGTGATTATTCGCATAACGAATTCTGAATTATCATGTTTACCTGCAGTATGGACACGAATTCGAATATTTATCCATTAATTTTAGGCATTTTAACGGATTGCAATTTTTCCTGATTGATTGATTGATTGAATTTTTACTGACTGAAATACAGTTCAGGTTGTACTGGCCCAGTTATTCTCACTGTATTATTACATCATAATTTGCTGATGTAGTGGTATTGAGTCCTAACCATACAATCCTCAAAGCTGAACATGAGATAAATGGGAAAATGGATTTTCCAGATTTAGGACGGAGAAAAGGCCAACTATATGGAATGCGGCAACATTCATTCAATTGGAACGGTGCGACTTGGCCTTATGCAACCCATACCTTTCTACATTACATATGTTACTCCATCCCTAGCCAAAATGTGTTCGTCTTAGTATCATATTGTTACTTATCACTATTTGATGAGTCTGTGTAGACAAGGCTGTGCCCTACACGTAAGATCTTATATATTAGGCAGTCATATCATAACATATCCACAATGACTCTTATAGTAACTAGCACATTTCAAAGGGATATGTGTCAGAAGTATATAATGTGTAACTAAGGAATGACAGGAAAATACATCTTAATCAGTATCAACAATATCTTACATATTTAGTTTATTACGTGCCAATGTTCACCAGTAAATCAAAATACATCAAGATATCTGGGCAGTTTCATTTTGCATATATGTAATTGTTTGTGATCCTAACGTAATCAACGAACAAGAATCAAGAGGTATAAAATAATCACAGTCAAATGGCAAAAAACATCACTGCTGCTAGGCAAGGATCCTAGTTTTATCCTCACGTGAGAGAAAGAGCAAATTAATTAAATCAGACGTTGAAAGTCAAGGATTTGACGAAGCAGTACACGTATTAACAGAAAGTTTATTAAGTACTAAAGGGTCGCACGAAGTATTGTGACTGAAAAAGATGTGAATTGACGACCCAGCTGTTACCAAGATTTTATGTCCTTACTCCAGCACCAAAACTAAGAGAGAATAGATCCACTTGTTTGCGCTAGCTTGTCGCAAATGATATCGAAGTTGGAACTTAAGGAGTGTTTCAACTCAAAAATTTGTGAACTTATGAGACAACATCTGCAAACGGACAATAAAATCAGCTCCAACAACGTATTTTCAAACGCATCAAAACATATGCTACATTTTTTTAGAACGTATGTGCTTAAATATGACTTTATGGTGATATGTTCAATCCCTTCACGCTCGTTTAAAAAAATAATTCATAGCTGTTAAACCATTATTAATGAGATCATCTTTGGCCGAGGACCTATAAAACTATTCATTTTAGGGATTTGTTTGACGCTAGAGAGTCCTTGTTTCACTTTTTGTTTACAATTTGTTTTAAAACAAGTTAGTCTCTGCATACAAATATCCACTTATACATTATTATTGAACATGGAAGATGGTAAATCAGACGCTTTGTTTATCATACTTGCTGTTTTTTCAAACTATTGAGGCCGACCAATAACGACGGTGACGCCACTACCTTTTTGACTGAACAATACTCCCGGACATTTCAACCAACCCACATCAACTATACTGATGACAGCTTCTGTATCTGCAACTACACAGGACTTTCTGAAGTGAACCTAAGCGCTGACTTGGTGTTCCGGAAACTGCAGCAATTAAGATCAGACACTTCTTCAGGCCCGGACATGGTCCATTCCGCTATACTGAGGGAAGCAGCCTCAATCTTGGCAACGCCGCTTAGCATGATGTTCTCACACTCGCTAAGTCGAGGAAAACTACCGGAAAATTTGAAGCTGGCTCATATTACACCAATTTTAAAAGGAGGTCGACGCAATGAACTTTCAAAAATCATGGAGTCCCTGATATACGATGGTATATATGACTATTTTCTGTCCTTAAATTTCTTCTCACCCCAACAGCATGGTTTTAGGAAGGGTTACTCTTGTATTACCAACCTGCTGACTGCCGTGGACAGATGGACAAGCATCCGTGATCACAAGGGGAAGGTTGATATCATCTACCTAGACTTCTCAAAAGCTTTTTATGAGGTTAACAATACATGTCTTATCAATAAGCTCAAAAGATTGGGTATCAGACCACCTCTAATCGATTGGCTCACTTCATACGTGAAAAATCGACAATTTAAGGTTAGGGTTAATTTCACTTTATCTCCGGCTATGGAATGTCCTAGTGGGGTACCCCAGGGCTCAGTACTAGGACCTCTTCTTTTCTTGATCTACATAAATGATCTTCCTCGACAGGTAATGTCAGACTTATTACTTTTGCCGACGACGTGAAACTTTGGAGAGAGATACGTAACCAAGACTATATACAGGCACTCCAGGAGGATCGGACTCGATTTCAAAGCTGGGCAAACGATAACTGACTTACGTTTAACACTTCAAAGTGTAAAGTAGTCCATCTGCGACATGTCGCAGACTACAGTTATAACTTAAGTAACTCCTCTCTAGTAGTATCCTAAGTCGAAGAAGATTTAGGAGTCTTGGTGCCCTACGATTTGAAGTCTTACGCTAACTGTGACAAAAATGCCTTCCGAGCAAAACTTGCAATGGTAACATTGAAGCGCAATTTTGGCCAGTTTGACGGAAGAACTTTCCATATAATGTTCAATAGTTTTATCCGTCCCCAATTAGAGTACGGAAACGTGGTATTTCCCCCTCACTCCCAAAGAATAAGGACACCCTGGAGCGTATCCAGCGGCGAGCCACGAAATCAGATCGAGGACTCAAATTTAAACCTTATGAAGAGCGCCTCCATTCACTTAACCTTTACCCATTAGAGTATAGACGTCTTAGAGGTGACCTTCTGATGGCTTATAGTATCCTTAACACTTCTGGACATCCTCTCAAACACTTACTTAAGCATAGTTCCAACACTAACTTAAGGGGTAACACCCAAAAACTGGAGACACAACATAGCAGAACGGAATGCGGACACAACTTCTACTCCTTAAGAAATGTCAAATGCTGGAATTCGCTGCCGGCCAAGCTAGTCCAAGCGACTTCCCAGGAGTCCTTTGAGAGGCAACTTAATCTATTCTTAAGGACTAAGGATAGTATTGCACTATGATTTATCAATTTCTTTTCCTGTTTTCTTGTTAACATACCTAGGTTCCTGCATGGAGGATTTGGTGATCCCCTGCTACTAGGCACGGAAGCCTGTTAAGCGAAAGCTTCTTCTATTCCGTCCACAACCATTTGAACAATTTAAGAGGCAACATGACCTATTCTTAAGGACTAAGGATAACATCTTATTATGATTTACCAATCGTTTTTCCTCTTTCATCGTTGATATACCTAGATTCCTGCCTGGAAGTGTTGGTGATCCCTTGCTACCAGATATGGAAGCCCGTTAAGCGAAAACTCCTTCTATTGCACCATTTGATTGAGAATTGAAGATAAGCACTAGCCATTGCGCTCAGTTCGTATAGTTGCGGAACATAGCACCTATCTTAACTTCTAAACTATGTCTTTGAAACAGGCCGTTGCCAAAAGTAAGTCTCTTACTATGCACTGTCTATAAGTCTAGAATTGATGGATGAAATAATTATCCCCTTGAGAAAGCCTAAAGATTGGAAAGTTCTCGTTCTGGATCGATTAGCCACTAGAATTGTATCTTCGTGTTGTAAGATGCATGAGATAATGAATAACGGCATAACATGTAGTGAATATTTTCTGATAAATATTTATTTCGTAGTGGTTGAAGACATTTTTAAGAAAAGGGAAGTGCTGCCGATTGAGGCAATATACTTGATCACTCCCACAGATGAAGTAAGAAAATTACTGTACTTCTAACTCCATAGTCTTTAAAACTTCTAATGGAGGATTTTCAAGGGTCCCAGAGTCAATATCGTTATGCCCACGTCTTCTTCACCGAAGGTAGGTTAATTTTCAGATACTGTAATAGGCGTGTCATATTTGCTCTCTTCTCGAGATGTTTTCCGTTTTTTTTTTGATGATAAATTCACTACATCCGTGGCTTATATTATTTCCCATTGAAAATTAGACCAGAAATTTTCAAAGCGTTCGAGGGACCTGGCTGTTATATCCCCACACAGGTCCCTATTCTCAGTCGGTGGTTGTGAAGCTTGCCACAGATTACTGTACCGCATTAACGCCATGAAATGGAATTTCCAAGACATGATGGAGTCAAATTGGCATAGTAGCGATGAGAAAAACTACTGAATCCGATTCAAAAAACAGTAAAGATTCATGCGTCAAGAAATCCTGAGAGGAAGATTAGGGTGAATGCCTCTGCGAAATTGTGACTTGTGCTGAGCTATATCGCGCATATGCAATGGTTGGTCGTTGTTGTTGTGCGTCCTCCAAACAGATAGTTTGCATCTGCCGAAATGTCAGTTAGTGGCTTCCTGAACTGATACCATGTCCTGATTTATCCTTTCCTAGCTCTTTTCAAACATTACTACTCCTGCTAACATCGCTCATCAAAGCAGGCGTGTTTAACATGTCTTAACCACTTCAGTCACTAATGATTCATTACAATTCAATCCACTTTCTGCTTTTGCCTAATGTCCCATGTCTAAGATCAACATCGCTCACTTGGTTGTCACATGAAACGTGAGCAATGGTTCGAGAAAATCTATGGTCCAAAACTTGTTTATTATTTATTTATTTATTTGACCACAAATATTGGCACAGGAGGTCACCAAATATATATGGGCCACATAAAACAATGAGAATGGGAAGAGAAAAATGAAGGTGAGGAGTGTAGTAGAAAAAGAAGAACAATAACGACCAGATTAGTATAAGGTAGTGTAATAATAATAATAATAATAATAATAATAATAATAATAATAATAATAATAATAGGGGAAACGGAAAGATTCAACCAGAAGAGATCTTTCAGTTAAGGAAGATACAACCACTTTATATGAAGAAAGCAAAAGAAGGTTACAGCAGGATCGCCACTGGCTTCTATTCTGAGCCATATCTTATAATGTCTCTAGCCACCGTGTCGCACCATCTCTCGGACCCCAACGAGGGAGTCGTGAAGAAACAACAAAAGCCAGCGTTTTGCAGCTTCCTTTCATGCCACGACATCATTTCATGCACTGACCACCTCTCCGCTTTCTCCAACCACTCCCCGAGTCGATAAATAATGCACGACGTGGAATTCTCTAGGATGACATTCGTAGAACATGTCCGAGCCACCGAAGTCGATGTTTCAAGATGGTGACACCAATTGCATTATCGTCTCTGTGCCCGAACACACGATGCCGAACCTCTGCATTACTAACATGGTGTTGCCACTGGATGTCAGCAATCCTTCGGAGACAACGATGATCAAACACAGAGAGTCGTCTAACATCCTCAACTCGGAGAGACCAGGTTTCACAAACATAGAGCAGAACTGCTCCGACCGACGCGTTGTAGATCCGACATTTTACAGCCAGACTGACATCATGAAGGCGCCAAAGATGGCCCAGACTGGCATAAGCCGCTCTGGCTTTCACTATACGTACATTGATCTCATCACTCATGCCACCACCAGCACTTATGCAGCTACCCAGATACACGAACTTCCCGACTACTTCTATCTGCTCACCATCCAGAGTGATTGCAGGATTAGAATCCTGCCAGTCTTGTAGAAGTACTTTGCACTTCGAAGGTGCAAAGCACACACCGTACCTACGGACACTGATTGCCAACTGATTAAGTGTGGATTGCATGGCTTGGGCATTATCGCACGGTAAGACAATATCATCTGCATACTCAAGGTCGAGAAGTCTTTCTCCAGGCAACAGATCCACACCACCATTACTTACATTCATCAGAGCTGTTTCCAGAATGTCATCGATGGCAAAGTTGAAGAGGAATGGTGAGATTGGGCAACCCTGTCTAACCCCACTGCTCGAGTGGAACAATGGAAAGAGGTGGTTGTATGCCCTCACTCTGCCTGAGGTGTTTGTATATAGGGCCTTTAGAATGTTAATAAACTTCTCAGGCACACCCTTCTTCAATAGACAATCCCAGAGAACAGTCCTGTCCAACTAATCGAAGGCAGCCCTGATGTGAAGAAACACTACGATTGTTGGCCTTTGATAAGTATGGCGGTGTTCTAACATTTGGCATAGGGTGAAGATATGATCAATACACTCTCAACCAGAACGAAAAGCAACCAGCTCCTCGCGAGTCAATCTTTCTCTGGTTTTGAACAACCTACGAAGCATGATGTAAGCCAATAGTTTGTACGCAATCGGAAGTAGACTTATCCCTCGATAGTTGTTACAGGAACGACGTGAACCCTTTTTAAAGATAGGGACAACTATCGACTCATTTTATGACGTCGGTACACTCTCTAGTTCCCAGACTTTTGCAATTAGCACAGTCAGTTCCTTAACTAGAAAGTCACCACCATCTTTAAAAAGAGCCGGAGGTATGTCATCTGGGCCAGGTGGTTTGTAGTGCTTCAAGCGTTGGAGTTCCTTGCGGACTTCCGTCTCATTTGGTAGATCAGTCGTCACCAGCCATGGAGGGCACGACAGCTTGGTCGGTGTTGCCGGTGAAGCGGGCCACTTGAACTGCCCTTCGAAAAATTCTGCCCGTCGTCCAAGCCGTCAATGGATGTTAGTGATTGTCGTTCCGTCATCCTCACAGATTGTTTCGCTCACACCAGACATCTTGCTGCCAATGGCTCGGATGAGCTGTTAGAGCTTCCGGTAATTTCCAGATGCAGCTGATGCTTCCAGCTCATTAGCACGCTCCGACCACCAGGCTTCTCGGTCCTTACGCAAGCTTTGCTCGATTTCATTACGCAACAGCCTTCGTTCGTGGTCAATCTCACGGTCACCCAAGCTAGACAGACGGGCTTCGATGAGTTGTAAGGAGTCTGAAGAAACCCAATGCTTATAAGCGGGACGTTTCACGAAGCAGCAAGCGGCTTTACTCGCCATTTTCATGGCGTCATGAAGTTGCAACCAACTTCGTTGGCCACTGAAAAGTAAGGTAAGATTGGCGCAGACCAGGGCATGATCAGAGTCCAGATAGGTACTCCAAAAGGAGTGGCAGTCTTGTACACGACCACGCCAGCGGTAGCTGATCGCGATGTGATCAATCTGAGTCCATGCTTGAGATGCAGAGGGAGGACGCCAGGTGGCACATCGGCGATGACTGTTCCGAAAGTTAGTGCTAGCCAGAAACAGGTTGTGGTCTGTGCAAAGTTGCAGTAGACGGTCCCCGTTATCTGTCTTGCGACCAAGAAGTCCCCACCAGCCATCTAAACGATTCTCTTCTGTGCCTAGACGCCCAACCTGAGCATTTAAGTCTCCGGCTAGTACTACAATATCTGTCAAACTCTCTGGAGAACAGTTAACTGGTGGTAGAGTTCATCCTTGATCGCATCCGGGCTGCAATCTCTCGGGGCATAGGCGGAGATGACGAAAAGACATCGTTTCTCACGCCGATTTCTTCTCACTTTGATGGGACTTTCTAATCTAACAGCACTTAACCTACTGTTAATGGGGATTCAATCGATTAGTGCTGCCTCAGCTCTAGCGCTTAGTGCGACACCAACGCCTGCAAGACCAGACGAAGATGCCACAGGGTCCCCGGATAAGCGCACGTAAAACAAGCTTTTTGAAGTGACAGATGTAGAGCGAATTTGTAGTACTTCACCAGAATCTTGAATACGGGTCTCGGATAGACAACAAACATCAATATTAAGACTTTCCAAAGACATAGCCAGCCCTATCTGTTGTCCGTCCTGCATAAGTGTGCGAACGTTGAAGGCGGACAGTTTGAATGGTGCACGTGGTTTCAGAAAAACTGCTTCACTATTCGTATTTGATGGTAGCATACAAATTTCAATCAGGCAGTGACTCGAGAACGTTTAGATAGAACCGAGTTCCCACCATAGGCGAGGTGCTGTATAAGTCGAAAAATAAGGATAGACAGAGTGGGAATAAAAGAGAGTGAATAAATGACATAGTAAATAATAATAATAATAATAATAATAATAATAATAATAATGTGGGTCCTTTGATTGTTAATCGAAGCAAGAAAAGTATTTTCCATGATTATCGACAGTTCATATTTGTGTGTGAGTTGTGATACTGCCCGGGTGCCCAGACCGAAGCAGGTGGTTTTCTCAGGGGGCCACACCCCGAGCCCTTGATCTGAAGGTCTAACCCACAAGGCAGTAGAGCATCGTAAGGAGATGCAGTACCATGGAAGCCGGTGACCAACGGTTGGTTCATACATTTGTTCTTTCAGGATACTGGAGCCCATGTGCACCATCGATTTGGTTTGGAATCCGGTTAAAGCGCCGGACATTCGCTCTTCGTCCTCTCATTTTCGTAAACAACACCCCCGCCACGAGAAGCAGTGATTAGGACTTCCCTGACAGAGTCTATATTCGCGTGGCCGTGTGAGAGCATTTGGAGACAGAGGACGGGCCCACCACACTCTCGGCCATACAGGGCATTTGGGGGCTAATGTATATCTTCTGCTTCGAATGGGCATGTTTCATGGTCATAAAGTAATACGAAATGGACTGCTGCACGATACGCTCGCCCTTTTGTTGGTAGTCGGACATATAGTTTAATCCGCAGATGATACAATTTGGCTAAGTTTGACGGAGCTTCGTAAACCCATGCTGAGATTCCAACAGACATCAACCTTTGAACTGTGATAAGACTTCTAAAAAGTGTTCGATGCACTTAGCTACTTCGCTCTTTATGGTCCATATAGCAACAATTCGGATTTAAGGAGAGTGAAACGCACCCCAAACGTGCTTGGATTGTTACTTAAGATTATCATAAGATCCTGCATTATGTCAATGTCCTCACTTCATCTGCATATTGTAGGTCAATAAGTGGGCCACAATATAGGAGCGGAATCCATGAACAGTTAAATAAAGTGTGATTTCCAGGATATTCAGAGCTGAATTAAGTGAGGAGAGAAATTGTAAACAATCACGACAAGCATCACTTAGAGTTGACGATTGAAATGGCGATTTGCCATAAGCTCTGATTAGACCAATACTGTTCGTGTAGAAATGATTCACAAGATGTATGTACTTCTTTGGAATAACTTTCAAGACAGATATTGCAGTCAAATACTGTCTTTAAGTCAAGAAATCCGACCATAGTACGACGTCTTTGGGTTTACCTTTCCTAAAACTGCGTAGTGAGTATATAGTTAATACATCCACGTTTAGCTCTGAAACTAGCCTAGTTTTGCCGTGTTTAGTCCTCATGAATCCCTTAATAGTCAGACGATTATAGAGGCCATTATTTTAGATAATATTTTAGTCCAATCGATTCCTCTGTGGTTATCACAGAAGGATTTCTGCTCTTAAAAACTGATTAAGTAAGCTATCGAGGCCAGTCAGACTTATTTGCATCTACCTTTTAAACTGTAGCTGGTATTGCAGTAATTTTAGCAGCTAAAACTTGACCACACTCTTAAAGATCTCTGGGGTTAATCCATCAGGCCTCCATCGCTTTTGATTATCCATAGTTTTTTCAACCCTGTTCCCATCCACCCTCAGTTTGATGTTGTCCTAATTCCCTTACCTAGATTACATTTGTCAGTTCAGTGTTTGGATTTGTTTCTTTTTTTTCCAGTGAAATAAAAAAATGATCCCATATACTTTTTATGTTGCTTGTGAATCGATGGTCACCTTTGTTTAATAAAAAGAACTCTCCAGAGCATGTGAGTTGTGTTATGACATCAGCGGTCTCATTTTGTGCTTCTAACAACATAGTACCCTGAATGTATTAGTTAGGAATTTCTCAAGTAGTCATCTTCAGGTCGAAACGATTTTCCTTCACCTGTATAGCGGGAGCTAGTAAACTTGGTGGATAATAAAATGTACTATTCAGTATTTAACTTAATATATCAAACATCTTTTCTTGTTCTGTTACTTCTATTGCTTTGTAAACTGCAAACTGGTATGATTTCATCTCAAATTTGTTATCATTAGATCATATTTAATGTAGTCTAATCATCTTTACTTCGCTACAAGTTTTTTATGCTTTGGGTGTATTCTTATCGAAGATATATGACATGAATGCCTCAGTGTATATACATCTATGATATTTCAGTTCTTATCGTAAACTTCATTGCTTCTAGCTTGCCCAGATGAGCTGTTCAACCGGCTTTGCCAGTCGAATTCTGCCATATTTTTAAAAACGCTTAAAGAAATCAACATAGCTTTTCTACCAGTTGAATCTCGAGTCTTTTCGTTGGATTCACCCATGAGCTTTCAATATTACTTCAATCCAGTAGCCAGACAACAGGGTTCGGGACAACAACTTGAGCGAATCGCTGAACAGATTGCAACGTTGTGTGCCACATTAGGTGAATATCCCGTTATTCGTTACCGCACGTAAGTCATTTTAAGCAATTCATCTTTCTAACCTCAGTATTGATTTTACCTGCATGACATCCAAAAGTTTATTAAATTTTCATTAACATTGGCTAAGTTATTGGTCTATGCAGCATTGGGACATTTTAAAAATTACTTACTGTAATGTAGCTGTTTTTGTGTAATTGGTATTCGAAAAATGATGCTTTTTGCTTTCATGGAAGTTATTAATCTACATCGTATTTTGGTAAAAACACTAACACTCTGAGTTTAAGTAATCTATAGAATAGAGGTTTCTATAATCTTATTATTTCAAGCTGTATTGTTACCTACAGCACCACGAATTTTTCGTTTGTAGTTCTGGGACTGTGTTACTCCATTTCTCTGATCAATCGTCCTTTGATAGCACGTGATTCTGATTTAAACTTTTGTAAATCCCACTGATATTTTAGTTGAGGTTAGGGAATGTAGCTTTTTAAATGATCATTGAATTAATATAGTTCCTGGCTAATATTATATTTTATTACGATGTAATTTTCCCATTTTAACATTCATATAGTGTGTCTATATAAATATATTCCATTCACTAATAGTAGGATGTATGAACTTTTATACATTGATTGAAATAAACAATTTTGAAATTAAGATATTATTATTCACTGAAGCATTGACCGCCTTTTGTGAGTTCATCGAATATATTTGATTCGTACATAAATGTATGTATTATGAATAAGAATTTCTAGAGCTTATAGACGTTTGATGCACGATTCACATAATTTCCAGTAAATTCAGCTTTAGTCATCCAGTATTCAACGGAAAAAACAGTTGTTTTAACAGTTTCAATCTTTTTTGGATCATTTTAGTCAGTTTGAAAGGAACGCCGAGTTCGCGCAGTTAGTTCAACAAAAATTGGATGCATACAAAGCGGACGATCCTCAAATGGGCGAGGTTAGTCAAATGAAACTTCAGTACTCAAAGTAAAATATCGTAAATCTATTTAAATATATACTCTATCAAGTTTTTAGTATTCTAAATAGTTTTTACGAAGTTAGTTCAATCCATCGATAATGTGATTTATTTTTTATCAAAAAACATGTTTTTTGTTCCAGGGTCCACAAAAAGAAAGAAGTCAATTGATTTTACTTGACCGGGGATTCGATCCTATCTCACCTATTTTACATGAACTCACTTTCCAAGCCATGGCTTACGACTTACTGGCAATTGAAAATGATGTTTACCGGTAAACTGGGTTGCTTTTGTTCACTAGTTATTTTTTGAGTGCGTGATACTAATCCTTATAATAATAATAATAATAATAATAATAATAATAATAATAATAATAATAATAATAATAATAATAATGCATTGTGCACCAACCTAAGGTCTGTGCAATTTGTTTTTGTGGCCTGGTTCTTCTGTCTTAACGAGTTATTATGTCAGACCTGTTACGTAATCACGGTTGACACTGATTGACCAAATAATCAAGTTGATTAATTTATTAGTACCAATAAAAAACGGGCATAAAAGCACATGACAATTCATCAAACTAGTCATTTTTTTAATCGATTTACGCAGTGATCAGTTTTAATCAAATAGTTTATTCAGTCACTGCTTAGAATTCAATGATGAAACAATATATTTTTTAGCTGATCTATGATTTTTTTTTAGATACTGAATGAATGTTTCCTATTTAATGGAATTCATTTAATTTACTACTAACAGTTGTGAAATTCTAGGAAAGCATGCTTAATATGGGTAATATTTAATGAGTAATTTGTCACATAAAAGAGGTGTTTGAGGATAGAAGTCAATTTTTTTAGTGTTCGCTGTATATCAAAACTTGCGTTACATCATTTGTTAATATACTTAAATTAACAGTCTGATAAGACGTACAAATTTTACATTAGAAGTATTTATATCGATTTCATTTTCGCAATTTTCCTAATGCATGCGTTGGTCCATCGACGCGACTGTTAAATGTATATTAGTGATTTTGTTAAAAACGTCAGATACACATTTATAGTCAATAAGTCCTGATTAACCTTATTATTCTTTTCTACCATTATTCAAATCAAAAGCAAATACAAAGTTACTGGACACACTTTGTGCTGTTTCTAGTACAACATAGTGCAAAACATTAAATATGGTTATTTTATTTGTATTCATATGCCTATCTGTGAATAAAATTATTGGTTTCATATTGATAGTGGCAATCATTGAAATCCATAGTCAGTATGCTATCATTAGTCGGAACATAGTGGTTTAGTAGTTAAAACATCTGAATTTCAACTGCGGAATTGTACGTACCAAGCCTTCTCGATTGGAACGACCGGTTAGCCGCATTGGCCTTCATACAGCTGAATACATTAACTTAGTACTGACTATTAGTGCAAAAGCAGTAAGTTGTATTGGAATGGAAATGGAATAAATTATGAAGTTTTTTCTCAAACTAATAACTTTTCTTTATTTTGAAATAATGGATATTCCAGTTACATCAACACATCAGGTCCTGAGGAACGTGTTAAAGAAATTATCTTGGATGAAACTGATGAGCTTTGGTGTGAACTTCGTCATCAACACATAGCAGTCGTTTCACAACAGGTTAATATTTTTGGTATTTAATGAATATCTGAGCGTCTTTATATTACAAGTGGCTTAGAAAATAGGAAATACCATCCATTAACTATTGTTTAGGATTCACGCTTGATGTATGGAGGTTACCAATACATTGTTTTCTATAAGCTTCATATCTGCGACCAAAATCATTCAGTTCAATGACTTTTTAACATTCTAATTGTCTAGACTGAATATCTAAATGTCTAAATACCAAGGAGGCCATAAACCCCACTTTTTTCAGAGCTTAAAATACTACCCTGTTACTCTAATTTTAATAGGTAAAGTAGAGTTAAAATATATAACTAACTGGTTAGAAGTTGACTACTGTAATTAAAAGTAACCTAAAGATTCCTTTGCTCAATATTATTGTGTTTAGGGAGTGCCCAGATTTTCTAGTGTCATTAGGAGTTTGACAGCGAATTTGTTGATGAGAGCAGCGTAAATGCTGTAGTTACAGTGAACATGATATGTAGAAACCTCGATAATACTGTGGTGCGTGCTACTTATATTGATATAAGTAGTATATAACGTGAGTCAAAAGAACGTGATGTCTGGCAGCAGAAGATGGAGGAGATCAAGAAAAGAAGAGCGAGAACACAATGGAATTTGTAAGAAATCGCATGAACAATGAAATGCGAGACAATGGATTGATGTTTGCAACAGCAACGGTCCGGTATGATATGATAGAATGATATTTTGCAAATTAACGATTTACTATATGGTTTTTCTATTTTACCAAGTAATTCTGTAATTTGTCCTAAATACAATTTGGCTGTCCTCACCCGTGTTCTCCTTCACTACAATACTACAAGTTCCAGTTTCGTAGAATTGCATATACACACTTACAGTCAGGTGGATAAAGTATACATAATTAGTTATAACGGGTTGAATTCAATAGCATGCGTAATTAAAATTATTTTTAGTGAATACAACTCAACCCGTAACAATAATCTTTGTGTGGTTGTGTGACGTTCGATTTGATTTTTACGCAACTTCTATTGAGAATTCTAAGTTCTGTAGTAGAAATTGTCGAAATGTCGAAAATCAATGGTTCAACACCATAAATATCAAGGAATTGTGTATTTTTATATGACTACGGACTCCAAACTCAGAGAAATGATTGGTATTTGGTTAGCGTTTTTATTTATTCATCTCTAACACAATGAGAACTGAGATAAAAAGCTTTAGGTAACCAGAGATTACAAAGTAGATTTTTAAAGCATTGGTCAAGCTGCCATTCATCGAAGTTTTATGTTTCTTGTATTCGAAGCAACAGAGAAAGTTTTCGAATGAACACCTTAAAAAACTACACTACTTCATAAATTTACCATCAATTTCGGTTTCGTCAAGATTTATATGGTTGGAAAACATAGTTCATTAGTTAATCAAAACCATTAAAGTAGTCTCTTCATCTTTTTGTAAATCATAAACATGATTTTGTCATCTGTTTCCTGTTGTTTTATTCTAATAGGTTACTAGCAAATTGAAAAAGTTCGCTGAAGATAAACGTATGGTTAACGCAGGCGATAAAACTACAATGCGTGATTTAAGTCAAATGTTAAAAAAAATGCCTCAATATCAAAAAGAGTTATCCATGTATTCAACACATTTTCATTTAGCTGAGGATTGTATGCAAACTTATCAAAATCATGCTAATAAACTATGTAAAGTCGAACAAGTAAGTTTTTTTTAAAAAAACAACTTAGTGAATCAATACGTAAGTATTTTACGACTAATTTTATACAGATCAGACTAAACAACTTCATTTATTGGAAGTTTAATTATTTAGTACCCAACATTTTGATTATGTAAGATTACCAATCTATCAGTTGGACTATTAAAAATTACCACATTGATGTACAAGAAAAAGATTATTTGCGTTATTTCGTTCTGGCTTTGTTTTTAGGTGCAAATAGCAAGTGGAATAAACTTTTCACAATTCAATCTTTAGTTTTGAAGTTGTCATAACGTTGTTCAACTTTTAAAGTAGTACGTCCGAATAATGAGCTATATCGGTCATTAATGGTTAATCTGAGTCGTTGGTGTTTGTTTGTTTATTTACTCATCCCTTTTGCTCATCTTCATCTTAAACAGTGTCATCATGTAATTCTATTTTCTGTCTTCTTCCCCTCACGTTGTTGATAGGAAATGTAACGCTTTGAGCTATTATACATTTTTCAGTCTGTCTACTTTTAGATAATATGGCGATTTAAATTTTCGAGTATTACTTTTAAAAGGAATAATTCAACCGGAATCATAATCATTTTAAACTACTTTTCAGGATTTAGCCATGGGTACTGATGCAGAAGGTGAACGAGTCAAAGATCATATGCGTACAATGGTTCCTATTTTAATTGATCAGTCAGTTTCAGCATATGATAAACTTCGTGTGATTCTTTTGTATGTTATACAACGGGGCGGTATAAATGAAGAAAATTTAGCTAAATTAGTTCAACATGCTCAAATCCCTTCATCACAGGCGTGTATTGTGCGTAATTTGATGCATTTAGGAGTTCCTGCTATCCAGGATGCTTCAGGAGCTGTAAGCAGTTTTTTCTCTAAAAATAAAGCTTCTACTAAACTTCCGAATTACTACTTATAAATAGTGTACTAACATTTTTGTTTATGCACTTTTTTAATTACTTGTTTAAGAGATAGATTGATTTAGATTTTCAACTTGATAGATTGGGTAATGTAGAAATGTTTAGTAAACTTTGTTCGAAACCAGGAAATGGATGTCAGCTGCGAAGACTTATAATCTCTCGGAATAATCACTTCTACCCAGTTTATATTTCAGTCGGTTCTGCACACTGGAGCACATGAAATTAATTACTTTCCATGCTGTGAGTGCTCACCATATTATGTACAGTATCATACATATTTTTAGGTGTTTAGTATAACCTGTCTGCCGGATTGATAATAAACTATCATAAAACAACCTTGGTTATAGTGTTAGTGTAGGCTTTGGTATGTTTGGTGCTGCAAATATTATGAGGATAGGTAGCAACCAGAAAATTCACATTCTCGTCATATTATTTATATGGTGTATTTATCAGTGGTCTATTTTTTATGCTAAAGATAGTGTGAAAAGTTACCATTCTTTTTAAACCGCACTTATACTCTCTCCTGTCTCCAGCTCTTATTATTTATCTATATAGTTAACCCCTCTTCACTTTCACATGAAATGCCGTGATAAAAAAACATGTAGTTAGATTGTCCGAAATGTATCGTGCGATTAAACCATATTTTGGGATCAACTTGACCTTTTCATCACATCATGCGAGTTTATTTAAAAGAGGACTAACTAATATCAAATTCCCCTAAATAAACGACTATCATTGTTAAACTTTAAATACAAGTGACATGAAAACAGTTTTTTCGAAGCTTGATAACTGAATTATTCATTTGTAAAAGTAAATCTTTTTCAAAAGAATATCATATATATCTCCTCTGTTTTTGGGGTAAACTTTTCAGGTCGCTTGTGTCAAGGTAAGGTTGCATACCGTCTCTTAAAGCTGATTTAAACACAAATGACTAAACCTACTTGAAGTCCTCTGAAATTATGTAACATTCTAACGGTCTAATCCCTGCGTTTCTCATTACGTTTACATTAGAAACCAATCATTTATTCAATATTATGTCTTTACGAAGGAAAAACTGTTATATGTGCAAACGAAATATGGTGAAATATGAATGTCGGGGCGATAGTAACCATACTTTTTCAATGTTAAATAAAAGTGCAATATCCAGCGTTTTCGAGCATAACAGATGAATGCTGTAACTAAGAACATAATTTTCACTGAGGATCTCATTCCAAGCTCTAACTCACGATTTTTGCCTTTTTTTCATCCAACAATTCAGGACTAAATTGAAGTCATCAGTGAAAATTACACTCATATTTTCAGCACTGACATACTGAATAAACTAAAAAGCGCAAAATTTATTGAACATCGAAAAAGCATGATTATCTTCGCCCAAATGACGTAGCTGAATAACCTTATTTTACAATCATCCAGTCTTTTTTTAACCCGTTAACAGTATATTCAAGTTATTTGACGAAATTTATTTGTTATTTTTAAACAGTTATTGTAAGTTCACAATAAACTTTGAAAAAGTTTAGCCCAACATTAATTCACGTTATATCATATTCCAATTTACTGGGTATATATATTTGCCCCCAAATGCACTGGTATGACCGAGAGTGGGGAGTTCGCTCTCCCTCTCGAAATGCTCTCACATGGCCACGCGTATACAACCTCTGTCAGGGAAGTCCTAATCACTGCCTTCTCGCACCACGGGTGCTGTTTACGAAAATGAGAGGACGAAAAGCGAATGTCCGGCGCTTTAACCGGATTCCAAACCAAATCGATGGTGCACATGGGCACCAGTATCCTGCGGGAACAAATGTCGTATGAACTAATCGTTGGTCACCGTCTACCATGGGACTGAATCTCCTCACGATGCTCTACTGCCTTGTGGGTTAGACCTTTAGGTCAAAGGCTCGAGGTGTGGCCTCTTAAGAAAACCACCTGCGTCAGTCTGGGTACCCGTGTAGTATCGCAGCCCTCACACATATCGAATGTGATTTGTGTGGCGCATATGTATTTGGTGCCTCCTTGTACCAATATCTCTGTATATATATTCACAATACAAAAGGACATTAAAATATGCATCAAACAATAAGAAAATGAGATTGTTAAGACATAGATAATATAAACTGAGTATGGCAAAAAAACAATATATGAATGAATGTGATTAAAAAATAATAGGAAAAAGAGTTCATCTAAATAGAATATAACCAAAAAAGAATTTTCTCAGTGAAGTTAGTTCTCCTCACTTTTATAAAGTAAAACAAAATTACATTAGAATAACCAATCGCTTCTCATTTTAAACCATATCTTATAACGTCTCAAACTATTGAGTTACATCTTCTGTCAGATCTTAATCAACGAAGAAGTTGTACAGGACCGACAGATTTCAATCCTATACAACTTTCTTTCATCATTATATAATAATTAACTAATTAAAAATCAAATTCTTTATGAAACTTTCTTTAATAAAATGTTCTATTCATCGTTTTTTTTAATAAAAAAATAATTGGTGTTACAACTTCTTTTGCTTATTTTAATTTTAACAGCTAAGTAGTTATGTATCATTAATTTTCACACTAAAAGATAGTGCTCTAAACCAATGTTTATATAAACTTTTACTTGATTGATCGTTTATTTTATCATTCTATGGGTTATTTTTTTCCAAAAATACTTTGATAATCTAGTACCTAATTATTATTTATTTATTTATTTGAACACATAAATATTGGTACAAAATGGCACCAAATATATATGCGCCATACCATATTTGTGTGTGTGGGCTGTGATACTCCCCGGGTGCCCAGACTGAAGCAGGTGGTTTTTTTAAGAGGCCACACCCCGAGCCTTTGACCTAAAGATCTAACCCACAAGACAGTAGAGCATCGTGAGGAGATGCAGTCACATGGTAGACGGTGACCAACGATTGGTTCATACGCCATTTGTTCCCTCAGGATACTGGAGCCCATGTGCACCATCGATTTGGTTTGGAATCCGGTTTAAGCGCCGGACATTCGCTTTTCATCCTCTCATTTTCGTAAACAACACCCCTGTGATGAGAGAAGGCAGTGATTAGGACTTCCCTGACAGAGGTTGTATACGCGTGGCCATGTGAGAGCATTTCGAGAGGGAGAGCGAACTCCCCACTCTCGGTCATACCAGGGCATTTGGGGGCAGTATTTAGTTACCATTGTTCTTAATTCTAGTTTAATTACTCCTTTCAATAATAAATTATAGTATCTATATGTAATATACATTTTATTATATAATACAATTTATTGTTATTAATTTATATAACTATAAATAGATGATTATATTTAAAACAAAATTATGAACAGTAAAGATAAAATGTATTTTAAGGATTAAATTAATAATAGCTATGAAATGATATAAGTATAATAATAATATAGTATTTTGTTTTTGTTCTTTTTATTGATTATCCAAATTATAATGCTTGTTCCTGTTAATTATAATTAATGAATTGAATACAATTCCGGTTAACAATGATTGTGTTCTCATTCATCCATATTTTTCATAAGCTTTAAGTTAGTGATAAATAATGTAGATAGAAGAAAGTAACCGATATTTTTCTTTGTATTGTGTTTTTTTTATCAATGGTAACCGTAAAATCTATCTCTATGTTAATGATGTGTAAAGTTTGAATATCTTTGACTTGAACATTCAATTATTGAACTGAAACATTATTATCTTCATAAATGTTCTTTTTTCTTTGAAGTGTTGTAGAATATTTATTACTCCTTTAAAATGAGTTGTAATATGCGTTTATATGTTGTGTTAACATTTTAAGTCAATTGTCTCGTTAAAAGTTTTTTGTTTACTTCATATCATGTGTCAAGTTGAATATTTAGTCAACAATACATTCGAATCACCACTATTATGCACTACAACTCCCGGGTGGGTAATGTTAGGATTTGGCTGAGTGATTTGAAGTTGAAGTAATAGATCAACCGATGAGCTTATGAGTGAATCTTAGTCTAAAATAAGTAACACACTGTAGTTGTTGTTATCCTTGACCTTGATTTAATTATTGGTCAATTAACTCAAAATTGATCACTATTTAATAAAAATAGTAATAATATCTATCCATTCAAACACTACGCTCAACTATCAATGACCCTATCGATTTATATAGAAATAATAAGGAGAAAGCTCAAGTGTCAATAAAAGCTAAAACAGTATTTTATTACATCAAGCTACCACTAATGTTGCGGTGTAACTTTCTGGTTTATTTTTACTAAAATGTTATTGTTTTTCTTCAAATCGGAACAGATATGATTCCACTTTTTTCCCTTTCCACTTGTTCATTAGCTTTCACTGTAAACCTTTAGTTTTCCTTACCTCATGTTACTAAAAAAGGTATATAACAGTGTAATGAAATGTTCATGATGATAATAACATCATGTCAATTATCAGAAACATTTATATTATAACTATTGTTGTCCATATTTTTCAGTCTTCTTTTTTGTTAAAATAGGGTATAGGGAGGCGTAAACTTCCTCAGCCTTATTTGCCTGCTAATCGACGTCAACGGGAGGATGGTCCACGATATCAAATGTCTCGATGGACACCTTATATCAAAGATCTTATGGAGGTAAGTAATCTGACTAATAATTCAAATACTGTTTTGCTTCATTAACGATTAATGTGATATGCTAAAACGATTCGTTGTTGAGCGAGGGCTGTACACACACTTCTTATAATGCTGATATGGGAAAAAGATAAGTGAAATCATGAAAATGTTAATTAAGGAAAAGGAATTTTAATGAGTATCATAGGTGAATGTTTTATGTTATTCAATGTACTTAGGATAGTGGTATAATACAGAAATTTTGTCGATTTAATATTTTCGATGTGGCAAAAATAGTTCAAGAGGATGTTCAATAGTGGTTAAATTATCTGAATGAATAATAAAATTATTATCCTTAGCGTTAACACAATGTACAATACCATTGAGAAACAATCATAAAAATACCTATGTGCTGTACAACAATGATCAACTATGTTATTGTTCGTATAACATCTGACTGTTTGATTCAAAGAAAAATGTTTTATAATTTCATTGTTGCTTTAATTATAAATTGTTTGTTCTATTTTACAATGAGAATGAGAATCGTTTAAGACGAGTGTGTCGAGAATAAAAGTCAGTTATATATTGTTTAAATGTGATTGGAAGTTAGTCAGCTTTTATTATCTCAGCTGATTAACTAAGTATAAATGCAATAACTCAAAGACTATTCGTTAATTCGGAAATCGATTGATTTTTTTCGTTCCATCCATAGATGAAAATTTTTGGAGATATTTAGTCAAGAGAGAGAGAAGTTTTGGAAACTAAGATGTATTTTCGAATTGTTTGTTACTTTTATCCTATTCTTTTTCAGTTAAAAATTATGAACATGGTAACAGTGTAGATTATTTCATGTATGTTATATTTCATCTTTTACCTCTTATTTTGTTGTAATCTCTCAGTGATATAATATAAGTGTACTGATCACTTCGACGTTTTTTAACTTAAGGATGCTGCTGAAGATAAATTGGATCCGAAATTATTTCAGTACTTTGGTGGTGGCCCTGTTCGTGGTCCTGGAACGCGTACAGGAAATGCACCAATGTCTGCAAGATATGGAATGTGGCATCGGGATAAAAGTCAACAACCACGTTCTGGACCTAGACTAATATTCTTTGTAATCGGTGGAATATCCTATTCAGAAATCCGTTGTGCATATGAATTAATGAATACTGCGCTAGGTAAACAATGGGATATTATCGTTGGTGGTACCCATATACTCGTGCCGGAAGCATTCTTAAAGGATTTGGAGAAACTGTCTTATCCACCAGGGACAGCGCCTCCATTGGTTAGCAGTGGGACATCAGTTATTGTAGGTGCTGGTGGGGAACCAGTGTGAAATCAGTATACCCCATGAATGATTTATATTTCAATATGTAATTCACAAGAGATTGCAAGAGATTTCCTTATGATTTCCACTGAATAACAACTTTATTTACTTATATTGATTTATCTTTCGTCGCACACTTCTTCGTTAGTCAATATCATTTCATTGATGCTGATGATTATAATTGTTACTATTAATATTACTATTATTGCCAACAAGAACTTCATTTGTGTTTAGCACTTCACCTAATCACTCACAACATTCCTCATACGCTCAACTCTTGAGCGTATTTTCTTGTTCTCTATCGACGTTTTTCCTCATTTCCTTCCTCATACACACATACGCAATCCCCTACAGATCATTGATTTAATGTCAGCAGAAAACATGACCAGCTTTCTTTATCTACGTTTATTTAATTATTTATTGGTTTGTTCATGTTGTTTTTGATATTTGCTTATTTATTACTTCCTCTAATTTTCTATATCATATATATACATAGTTATTAAATTAGTATTGTTCATAGAATTTTTGTGTCAATACTACGTGCATTTGTCAATGATTATGCCTTCTCCCTTTCCGTCTTCAGTCACACTGTTTCTGAGGCTTACGTGACATTCGATAATTAGTGTGGATCACACTCGATGCAACTCCGCCTGTAGCTCTTATAGGGTTGCTGCCGGTCCCAAGCCCGAGTAAAGGACGAGGGTTGGGCATGGGGTAGCGTCCCCATCCCGTAGAAAACTAACTCGCTAAAAAAACGCTTACCAGAAAAAATAATCCAAACCATTTTAACTCTGCCCTGGGAGTTAGATGGTCTTCGTTTAGAAGAATTATGACGCTTCATGGTGAAAGCCGAGTTCCTTCGGAAGCCACGAGGTCGATGCCCCTTCTAACAACCAGAGCAAACATTTTTATAGGTACATGGAACGTTCGAACAATGTGGGAAACCGGGAAGACCAGTCAAATATCAATGGAAATGAGGAGATACAACTTAGCAGTACTGGGAATCAGCGAAACCCACTGGACCCAAGCTGAACAGAAAAGGCTAGCTACGGGAGAGATGCTGCTATACTCCGGTCACGAAGAGGACAATGCTCCACACACTCAGGGAGTCGCTCTTATGCTGTCCAAAGTAGCACGAAACGCACTTGTAGGATGGGAATCTCACGGATTCAGAATCATCAAAGCATCATTCAAAACAAAGAAGGAGGGGATCAAAATGAATATTATCCAATGTTATGCACCCACCAATGATAGCAACGACGGCATTGAAGATCAGTTCTGCGAGCGGCTACAGTCAATCATTGAGAAATGCCCAAGGAAGGACCTAACTATTCTGACGGGAGATCTAAATGCCAAAGTCGGAATAGACAACACTGGATATGAAGATATTATGGGACGACATGGACTGACTGGGAGAGAGAAACGAAAATGGGGAAAGATTTGCAAATCTGTGTGCATTCAACAAATTGGTCATAGGAGGTACAATATTTCCACACAAGCGTATACACAAGGCTACATGGATCTCACCGGACCACACTACAGAGAACCAGATAGATCATATTTGCATCAATAAAAAATTCCGAAGGACAATGGAAGATGTGAGAACCAGGAGAGGTGCTGACGTAACTTCAGATCACCACCTAGTTGTAGCCAATTTAAAACTGAAGCTAAAAAAGAACTGGACAAGTGGACAAACAGCAATACAAAGGTTCAATACAGCTTTCCTTCGAGATACTGACAAACTCAATGAATTCAAGATAGCTCTCAACAACAGGTTACAAACCTTACAAGATCTACTGAAAGAAGAAGAAACTACTATGGAGGACAACTGGAAAGGCATCAAGGAAGCATTAACTTCAACGTGTCAAGAGGTTCTCGGTCTAAATAGATATCATCATAAGGAATGGATCTCTATAGAAACACTGGACAAGATCAAAGAAAGGAAGAACAAGAAGGCAGTAATAAACAGCAGCCGAACACGAGCAGAGAAAGTCCAAGCACAAGCTGAATACATAGAAGTAAACAAACAAGTGAAGAGGAGCATTAGAGCCGACAAGAAGAAATACGTGGAAGAACTAGCAACGACGGCAGAAAAAGCTGCTAGAGAAGGAAATATGAAACAGCTTCACGATACAACGAAGAAACTAGCAGGGAAATACAGTAAACCAGAGAGGCCGGTCAAAGACAAAAAAGGCAGGAAAATCACCGAAATTCAACAACAGCGTAACAGATGGGTAGAATACTTCGAGGAACTCCTGAATTGGCGGGCTTCAATGAATCCACCGGACATCGAAGCAGCACACATAGATCTTCCTATAAATGTCAATCCACCAACTACGGAAGAAATTAGAATGGCCGTCAGACAAATCAAGAACGGGAAAGCAGCGGGACCCGACAACATACCAACTGAAGCACTGAAATCAGACATCGAAGCAACCACAAGCATTCTTTATCTTCTATTCAAAAAGATTTGGGAGGAGGAACAAGTGCCGATGGACTGGAAAGAAGGACACCTCGTCAAGATTCCAAAGAAAGGAGATCTGAGCAAATGTGAAAACTACAGAGGCATTACACTACTGTCAATTCCAGGGAAAGTCTTCAACAGAGTGTTGCTGAACCGGATGAAGGATGCAGTAGACGCCCAACTTCGAGATCAACAATCTGGATTCCGTAAGGATCGGTCGTGCGCAGACCAAATTGCAACACTACGGATCATCGTCGAACAATCAGTTGAGTGGAACTCATCATTATACATCAACTTCATTGATTATGAAAAGGCATTCGACAGTGTAGATAGGAGGACATTATGGAAACTTCTTCGACACTACGGAGTTCCTGAGAAGATTGTCAATACTATCCGGAACTCATACGACGGACTACAGTGCAAAGTAGTGCATGGAGGACAGCTGACAGATGCATTCCAAGTAAGGACCGGAGTCAGACAAGGCTGTTTACTCTCTCCCTTCCTCTTTCTTCTGGTGGTCGATTGGATTATGAAGACCTCAACATCTGAAGGAAAACACGGAATACAATGGACAGCTCAGAATCAATTAGACGATTTGGACTTCGCAGATGACCTAGCCCTCCTATCACGTACACACGAACAGATGCAGATGAAGACAGCCAGTGTAGCAGCAGTCTCTGCATCAGTAGGCCTCAGCATACACGAAGGGAAAACTAAGGTCCTCAAATTCAAAGCGGAGAACAGTAATCCAATCACACTTGATGGCGAAACTCTGGAAGATGTAGAGTCCTTCACATACCTGGGAAGCATCATCGATGAACAAGGAGGTTCAGATGCAGACGTAAAGGCGAGGATCGGCAAAGCAAGGGTCGCATTCCTACAATTGAAGAACATATGGAACTCAAAACAACTTTCAACCAATATCAAAGTGAGAATCTTCAATACGAACGTCAAGGCAGTTCTACTGTATGGAGCTGAAACTTGGAGAACTACAACAACCACAATCAAGAAAGTACAAGTATTTATAAATAGCTGTCGACGCAAGATACTCAACATCTATTGGCCGGATACCATCAGCAATAGCCTTCTGTGGGAGAGAACAAACCAACTTCCAGCTGAAGAAGAAATTAGGAAAAGACGATGGAAATGGATAGGACATACATTACGCAAATCGTCAGACTGCATCACGAGGCAAGCCCTAACTTGGAATCCTGAAGGGAAGCGAAAAAGAGGAAGGCCAAAGAAGACATTGCGTCGGATAATAGAAGCAGATATGAAAACGATGAATTACAACTGGACGGAGCTAGAAAGGATTGCCCAGGACAGGGTTGGATGGAGAATGCTGGTGAGCGGCCTATGCTCCTTCACGAGGAGTAACAGGCGTAAGTAAGTAAGTACACTCGATGCGTTATATATATGTATATTCAATAATGAAAAATGTTAATTTTATGTTTCTCTTGGTAATCACATGTAACACATTACCAACCACCTCAGTCGATGGATATTTAACCTAATCAACAAACTTTCTATCTTCTCTGCTGTACCTCAGCATTGCTTATTGGGTGACCTCAACATACACCAGCAAAGCTTAGAAGGCATCTGTAGTCGAATATTAGTCGCTTACTAATGTTTTCTATCCCTGAAAGCTGTTTTTCATAGTCATAAAATAGAGCAAAAACAACTGCGCAGTGTACTCCTGGCTTCGCTTGCAGATAAACCTCTCACCTTAGCCACAAAGACGTAATTTTGCAAAACTCAAGAGAACTCTCTAATTTCAGCACCGAGATTCTTTCAAATATCAGCTCACCAGTGGTAATGAAGCTCCAATCATTAACGAATTGATCAACTTACTCAACTACTTCACTCAAAAATAATCAAAGTAGGCAATGGTGTGGATCAGCGTGAAGCAGCATTTTAGATTAAGAGGAAGAGAAACACTCCAGACATGCTGGGATTGTTACTCAAGGCTACCAAAGGACTCCATGGTCAGTGTCTTCATTGAATATAACTATGTCATCTGCGTACTTTAAGTTCATAAGTGGACCATTTGGTAAGTGATCAATCCCTGAAAGTTAGATGAAGAAAGTGTGATTTCTAGGGAGAAATGTATGAGATGAAAAAGAAGATAGTGAACAATTCTGACGAAGACTACTTGGAGTTGAGAATTCTGGTGACAAATCGTGCTTGAGTGGGAAGTTTCGATTTTTTGTGTACTTAGTAGGTAATTTATACTCCCAAACTCCAACATAATCTCTCGGATACCGGAGTTGAGTCCCACGTTAAGGCTAAGAAATACAGCTACATTCGGTCGTTGGTATGCTTATATTCTAAAATCTGACGGAGGATGAATAGTGTAGTCAGTATGTTTGCGTTCAGATTCGAAGTCGGCCTGACTTAGTTTCGCTTTTCACAAGTTCTCTTAGGCGTTAAATGGTGATAGAAGCTAATATTTGAAGAATGTACTCCTCTCCTATAAAGTGAGACGACCAGTGATCGAGGCCAACTCTCAAACTCTACCTATTATATAAATCAGATTCACTGTTAAGACTAGATCGTCATCGGTAAAGACCTCCGAAGTTAACCTACCAAGTTCTGCCACTGTCCCTTGATCCAACTGACCGTAAGTGATTAGAATAACTACTTTGGAATTTGTGAAAAGTAGATTATCATTTACTAATGAAAATATCCAGTAAACTAAATTTAGTTAATTCGACAGTTATTAGATCAGCATCCGTTTTTAAACAAAAATAAAATTATGCTCTCTAATGTTATTGTAGTTTCGATTGGCTCTTTAATTATACTCTAAAGAGAACTGTCATCAGAAATTGGTTAGTTACAGAGAAAAAAAATATTTATTTAGAGAAGATTGAATCCAAATAGTGTCTAAATAATCAACAAATGAAATGATAGCTTATTGATTAGCAACAAACATTTACTACTGAATTAAATCACTTTTACAATAGTATAAAAAGATTTTTTTTTCTATGCATGTAATTGTCAAATATAATTTAAATAGCTATAAAACTCGACTAGCTCTGTCTCCTTATTTAATAAAGCATAGATTACCATAACATTAAGCAGAAAATTTACTGTCATCATTTTTCCTAACTAGTAATCTTCATTTATATCCAAATAAAAGAAAGGGATTCTTACTGTTTATTTGGATTAATAATAAATAAAAATCACTGTATAATCAAATAGTGAAACGTTGAACTCATAATGAAAACAAACCACTATTAGTCAGTAGTACTATATCTAATTCTAATATAATATGGCTTATCATTTTAAAGAGATTCCTGAGTATTTTTATGTTACTAATTGACGACGAAATGTAAGATAATAAGACTACCTGATCAATACAGTCAGTATCCAGTGACATTTGTGAGTTTTTGTATTACTTCTAAGTTTTTCAATTATACAGAATATAGCTTACCATTGTATAGTCTACCTCGAAGTTAGTCACTGATGAGAATGGGACTCTAATTTTGTGAAGTTTTCAATACTTTGAAGACTATTATTATCATGAAATTACGTCACGGTGTTATATCCGGACGAGAATAAATGAGTGATAACCGTTAGGAATTATGTATGGACTAATATCATACAAATATTTTTAATGTATGACTATTAGGTAAATATAAGTTTAGGTGTTGTGGAGATTGTTAAGTTTTTGATTGAAATCATGAGTCATTTGAAGCTAGACCACCATGGAAAACCTGGAAGCAGTGGACGGCCGTTTCGTCTCAGTATGGGACTCCTCAGCAGTGCGCATCCACTATCCCGCACCCCGCGAGGTTCGAACCCAGGACCTATCGGTTTCGCGCCAGGCGCTCAACCAACTAGACCACTGAGCCGGCATCCAATGGTGACTAGCTTCGTGAGAAAATTCTCGGAGTTCTGGTGAGAAGCCGTGACCAGTGGAGCTAATCCGTGTCGGTTAGAAACAGGTGTCTACCTCAGTAAAATGGATTGGTTGATGTTAGACATTAACACCACCGGATGCTGGCTCACTGGTCTAGTTGGTTAAGCGCCTGGCACGAGACTGACAGGTCCTGGGTCCGAGTCTCGTGATGTGCAGGATAGTGGATGCACACTGCCGAGGAGTCCCATACTAGGACGAAACAGCCGTCCAGTGCTTCCAGGTTTTCCATGGTGGTCTAGCTTCAATTGACTCATGATTTCAATCGAAAATATATTATATGTATATTCATATTCCTTTCATCACAAGTTTTTATTTGACCTATTGACTGTTATCATACGATTTACTATTCTTGAGATATTCCCAATTTATTAGTGGCAATCGCAGCCACTTTTGGCTTGATCTTGTACAAATATTTTCTATTTTATGGTGTTATGTGGTCTTATTTGTTTGGATAATAACTCAGTGTGTTTGAAATATATGATTCGTATCGCGGAGGCTGATATTGGCATTCTGGACTTAACAGATAGGGCTAGGCGGGAAAAGGGCCAATCGGAACTCTAAGCTGTCCGTACTGGTGTATACGTCATTAGTTTGGTCATATAAGTCAGCGTATCTAAATTTGGAAGTCGTATTTTGAGATATCGTATAGTTAAGGACATAACAGTAGGATTGTTGATGAGTAAGCAGTTCCAAACTATAACAAAAACGCTACTTATTTCTCTATGGATTTTATTCTCTATCTGACCTCCATATACAGCGTACACAAATTTTCACCAATCATCCACACATACACACCCATAATACTAAATACAAAAAATATTAAACTATAATGTATGGTCTAATGTTATGTATTGTATACTAAATAATTCATGGGAATATATCTGATAAGTATTGAATTTAGTTACTTAATTGTTATGTAATATATATTTACAAATGTTGCCAGTGAAACTGTTTTGTTTTTTTAGAATGACATTTATTTGAGATAAGATAATGCGCTAATCGTTTGAATTATTATAACATTGGAATTGGTTCCATTTGACATTCTTCTTTCATTTGTGGTCCTGTTATCCACTCATTCAACTAATTAAAATAGAAATGACAAATATGAAAAAGATTATTCAACAAAAATATCTATCATACATGTATTTTCAACAGAGTAATAACCATTTTACAGCATAATCATACATACATATATATTTCAAAATCTGACTGGTTTCGTGACAGTTTGAATTGCTTTTTACATTGGCATTTTTAGTCAAATCTTACAATCAATTACTTTTAATTGAGATCATGAACCGATAGATGTTGGACTACCGTTGGCAACCTGGAAGCACTGAACGGCCGTTTCGTCCTATTGTGGGACTACACAGCAGTGTGCATCTACAATCCTGCTGGCGGGATTCGAATCCAGGGCCTTCGGTCTTGTGCGCGAACGCTTAACCTCTAGACCACTGAGCTGGCATCCAACAGTGTTAATGTTTAAGTCCAGCCAATCCACGAAATTCCACGACTATCTTCCATTGTACTGAGGTAGATACCTGTCTCTACCCGATACTGATTATCTCCATTGGTTACAGTTTCTCACTAGAATTCCGAGAATTCTCTCACGAAGCTAGTCACTAGTGAGCATATGGTAATCATCAATATAGGGTTGTGGAGATTATTAATTTTTTGATTGAGATCATAAATCTAACTGAAAATTAATTTATGAAGTAGATAAATTCAATGAATAGGAATCATCGCATTATATCAACTCATAATATTGTATCAAGATAAAAGTTTATTTGTTAAAATAATTCATAGCTCAAAAGTGGATTCTCAATATGAGTTCAATAGTAAATTTGTGAATAGTTTACCAATGTTTAGCTAATCAATAAAATGTATAACTATTATACATTGTCTTCATCTTATCTAAACTAGATCAATTTTAGTTAATCCAATGTAGTGAATACAATTCTTCCATAATTTACTGACAAGTTTTAGTTTAAATAATGAATTATCCTACTCATTAGGTCACAGCGATAATTATTAGTGTAGATATAAAGCCTTCAGTAGTAGGTTAATTCATAAATTGACTGTACTTGGGAATCGAAACTAGAATCCACGTTTTTTTCTATTCTAGACTCGTAGTATCCTTTAGGTCAATAAAATAGCCAAAGTCATCCATAAATATCAGTAACAATAAAAAATATCAGCCGTTATGGCTACTTAAACACATAGCAACTCAACAAGTTGGTGATCATACAAATTCCAATAGCTTAGTCTGTAACACTTTTGAAGTGGTGAGTACTGGGTCAAGTCTGACGTTGAGACTATATTGATAGATAACAAAGTTTATTGCAAATAAAAACTAACTTTTTAGAATCATTCAAGTAAAAAATCGATCCTTCTTTATTAACTTGTCTGCGATTAAAAATCATTCAAATACTCTCTGCAGCTCATTCCTATACTAATTCAACAATTATACTGCTATACAGAAGGATAATGAGTTTTACAATCAAACAATCTACTTCACTGAACGTACGACATACATACAGACTTTCAAGAATAGTCCTAATAAATAAAATCCTTTACTGCTGATAAAAGTTAAAGCAAACCTTTTAATCAGCAAATAAAACGAACAGTCGAATTCACAAGTCCATCTAAGCTAGACGACCACTGAAAATCTGGAAGCACTGGACGGTCGTTTCGTCATATTCTGAGACTCCTCAGTAGTGCGCATCCACAATCATTCATCAAATGGAATCGAACCCAAAACATTTGATATCGAGTAAGAACGCTTCAACTCTAAACCTCTGAACCGGCATCCAACGGTGCTAATGTCTAACTTCAGTCAATCCACAATCTTGCTCAACCCTTTATCAACACTGTTGGATGCCAAACCAGTGGTCTAGAGTTAAAGTGTTTGCACTCCAGGCCAAATATCCTGGGTTCGAGTCCCTATAGAGTGAGACCGTCGATGCGCACTAATGAGGAGTCCCATACTAGAACGAAGTACCCATTCAATGCTCCCAGATTTTTAATAGTTGTCTAGCTTTGGCTATTGAATTCAACTGTTAAAATACTGCAATCTCCGTAAATCCCCATAATAGTAATAAAAATAAATTGATAGGAGCTGATTCAACATGAACTGATCTTATTTTGAAAGGATCTATACCAGGCATTCGGTAGTACCTACCGTCTTGCATGCCATGAAATCTTCCTCATTTCTATTCTATATGTGGGTTGGTAGGTGCGAAGTTGAGCAAAAAAAGTTGTCAAGTTCCACTTGATTTTAAATGGCTTTCTAAATGATGTTAGTTTATTAGAAAATTTATTTATTTATTTAAACACATAAAAATTGATAGAAGGAGGAACCAAGTAGATAAGCGCCACATAAATCATTCGATTTGTGTGAGGGCTGTGATACTCCCCGGGTGCCCAGACCGAAACAGGTGGTTTTCTTAAGGGACCACATCTCGAGCCTTTGACCTAAAGATCTAACTCACAAGACAGTAGAGCATCGTGAGGAGATGCAGTCCCATGGTAGACGGTGACCAACGATTGGTTCATACGCCATTTGTTCTCGCAGGATACTGGAGCCCATGTGCACCATCGATTTGGTTTGGAATCCGGTTAAAGCGCCGGACATTCGCTTTTCGTCCTCTCATTTTCGTAAACAGCACCCGTGGTGCGAGAAGGCAGTGATTAGGACTTTCCTGACAGAGGCTATATACGCGTGGCCGTGTCAGAGCATTTCGAGACGGAGGGCGGGTTCACCCCACTCTCGGTCATACCAGGGCATTTGGGGTGAAGATAAGGAACATATTTTTACTCAATATCCTATCTATTGCTAATGTTGTCTGCATACAAAGTAAAAGAAACATAATTATTTCTAAAAATGGATTAATCAATTAATAACTTACCGATTCAGTATAAAATCGATTACAACCGAAAGCATCTGGACTATAAGTGAATAAATTGTGTGGCATTATAAATATGGATAATGGTCCACCACTAGTAGCTGTATTTGGTAGGTCTTCATGTCTTGGCAAATGATAATTACCAACAGTTAACCACAAAACAAGATCCTGTCAATACAAACATGATCAAATATGAAAAATCTATATTCGTTTAAAATGTGTGCCTAACTAAATATACTACTGAAATTGAAGGTAAGTAAAATGAGTAGTGTGCTAAAACATTTTCATGTTAAATATAAACAGAATATCTGATACTTCTATCGCGATGATTTGCTACCCAAACTCATATATGAGTAAATTGAAGATTGATCATACAGTTTAAGCGATCAGTTTAAGAGTTTAACGCTAACTATAAAATGTTCTGGAAGTCAAACTTCATCCTATCCTCAGTATTGTTGGAATCATGGATAATTTGTCCCAGTATGTTGATTATTGAATCAACATTAACTTAAAAGATGTATTGAAGGCCTACTTTCTAAATCACTCACTTCATAAAAGTGGAATTTAGTAAATGTCTGGTGACTGTCGCTGAAACTTGGAGAACTACTAAAGCTATCATAAAAAAGGTACAAGTATTTTTTAACAATCGTCTACACAAAATGCAGAATTTCCGTTTGTCGGAACTCATCAGCGACAACCTACTGTGGGTGAAAACAAACCAGCTTCCAGATGAGGAGAAAATCAAGAAAAGATGTTGGAAGTGGATGGACCACATATTACTGAAATCATCAGACTGCATCACGAGGAAAACACTGACTTGGAATCCTGAAGAGAAGAAAAGAGTAAGATCAAGGAATACATTGAGTTGGAATTAAGAGGCAGACATGAAAAAGATGAATAGCAACTGGAAAAAATTATCCGGGACAGAGTTGAATGGAGAACCCTGGTGGTTGGTTCATGCTCCTCCATGAAGGATAACAGGGGTAAGTAATTAAGTAAGTATCATGCATTCTAACATCAGTGATTCAAAATCTCCCACTTTTCCCACCAAATTTCCGACTAGTTGTATCATTTAAGTAAAAATCAAACAACCTAAAAAGTATTTATCCAGAAATAAAAATTTGAATCACAAGAAATCATTTAAAAATATTATCTGTCCACTTTATCTGCTAGCCTTTAATACAGTTAAACTAATCTGATCTTTACCAACGTACACAATGAATGAGGGATATATATATATATATATATATATATATATATATATATATATATATATATATATATATATATATATATAGGGAGAGTTTAGTTTATTCTGTTATCTCTCAAGAGTTAATTTATTTGTGTAATAAACTATAATTTTTAAGTTTCAATTTCTATCAGAAAATTTTATGACCATATATATTGATATTATTGACTACTGAAATTCATAGTCATAACAATTCACTAATGGCCTCTGTCTAATTCTCCTATTATTAACATGAATATTAAGTCTTAACTTTGAATGTAAAAAAAATTCGACGAGACTATAATTTACGGACGAAATAATCACGTATAAGATAACAAATCTCGAATTTTGGCGTGAAATTCGCTCATCCATTTGGATAAATAAAGTTTTGGCATTATAGCTTATGTCAGTTTGTGATGAAAACCCTAAATCTAATTCCTAAGCTTAATCGTCAACTGTAAATCGTCATTATAATTCTTCACACTGGTTTATAACTCTCATTTAGAGTCGCTCAAAGGTTGTCCGTAAATTATAGTCTCACCGTTTTTTTCTTCAGAATACATCATATATATACACAATATTTTGTATTTCACAATTCCTAATCAACTATTTAGATGATTGTTGATCAAGAGAGAATTTAGAAAAAATTATTTGGTTGTACGAATACGTGTGTGTGAATACCATTTCAATGTTACTGATATCTGATTGAAAGATGAAAACAATTGAGCTATGATGATACAAATATATCATCAAGCTAGAATTATAAATAGGGAATCAATGATAAAAATTTGAATCAACTTAATAGATGGAAAGCCTAACTTCTGATGACCTTCAGAGATATTTTGAATAAAGCTAAGAAAGCTGTATTGTCAAAAAAGGGAAGTATTATGTAATTATAGGATGGATATACCTTAAAATTTCATAAAATAAGATTTATCTGACCTCAGTCTGTGTATTTATTGAACGGAATAAGTATATTTAAAAAAAAAGATGAAGGCGTTAAAAGGTAGTTCATCTAACCAGAATTAATAACTACTTTTTCTTAGCCATTCGATCCATATAATTTTTGTTCTAACTTGAATCTATTAGAAATAGTTTAAAATCATTACTACTCTTGTTATGACATCCTCATTATGTAGAGTGTTTCAAATAATGGATCACACAACAACTTAATCATATAGACACATTGTGTTTATTTACATATTTTCAGAAAGTGTAAAATCTCATTTTGGTTTGTCATTCAGTTAAAAGTAACTACTTCTACAGATAATGATAAACAAACAAATGAAATAAAGATCTTTAGTATTGAATCCACTGATAAAGAACTTGCGTTCCTCAGAATGACGTTAGCTAAAAATGGATATCCAGTTCACTTTATGGAGAATAACATGAAAGGCAGTTAGAACGAAAAATTCGGTCACTCCGTTTCAATGAAATAACTTTACATGAATCTGGAATTTAAAGGTGACTAAACTTCTGATGTATTTAAAAGCAGATTAACGACAGCTATAAAAAGATTGTTTTACATAGAAATGCTGTGACTAACGTTCGTTTTTAAAAACTTGTTTTCCGTATCCGTAAAAAATAAGTTCTATTGTTTGATCACCACTATGTACTGCTACCAGCTCATCTGCTGTTATGGAGCAAATTACATGAACCGTAGCCAGTGCCTGCTTGCAACTAGAATAAGGGAAGATGTCCCAATGTCATTCTACAAGGATGAGAGGAACACGGTTAAGGTTTATATTCTTAAACATCTAATCGATTCAAATAATTCAACCGATCACCCCCTCTCTGCAATTATTTCTCATTTCCTCATGATTTTATTCATGAATGTTTCTGTTACCACCTCATTTAGTTTTACCACCCTATTATCTTTGATTATTGTAACAAAAACATTTTAATCATCTTACTTCATTCACATTATAATCCGTTGTCAACCTATTAATTTTCGAGGCTTTCTATTTGGACATACACAATTTATTGTTGTTATTACTTACAGTACATAATCTAGTGTTATAACTTTTCTGTTACATCATTACATTTATTATCAGTATAGGGTTGTGAAGATTATCAACTTTTGATTGAGATCATGAACCGATTGATGTTAGACCACCATTGAAAACCTGGTGGTCTAACATCAATCGGTTCATGATCTCAATCAAAAAATTACATGTCCTCACAGAATTATTACTTAAATTTCATATTACATATATATTTAACTTTACAGCTTGATACTAAATTCGTTGAAAAGAGATCCTTTCGCTGAACATGGTGTTTTTACATTCCGATAATATAACTTTACCATTTTTGATATTTCCATTCCTCTTATTATATCTTAAGTAATTCAGTTGATTTCATCGGAAACTAAGAGTGGCTAAACAATAACTTAATCTCATTTCATGAAGATATTTATTACTGATTTAAACAATATCGTTGAAGTTAGACTACATGGTTGTAGTCTATACCATAATTCTGAATAATAATGAAAAACGTTAAATGGTATGATGCAGAATCGATCAAAATAACTCGTAGACACTCAATTTAGCTTTATTATTGTCTCATGAATATATTTTTAAAACTGTAAATGTTCAGTTTTTTTCGCAATATTGTTACTAAGTTATTTCGACTCATTTTCTATTGATCTTATCATTCTGTTATGTTATGACTCTACATTATTATCAGAATGGGTTTTGTGGAGATTTTTAGAAGTTTCACAAGTTGAAATCATGAGCCAATTGAAGCTAGACCACCATGGAAAACCTGGAAGCACTGGACGGCCGTTTCGTCCTAGTATGGGACTCCTCAGAAGTGCGCATCCACGAACCCGCCCCCGCGGTATTCGAACCCAGGACCTACTGGCTTCACGCGCGAGCACTTAACCATTAGACCACTGAACCGGCATCCAACGGTGTTAATGTCTAACTTCAACCAATCCACGAAGTTATAACTGTATGTAAATTTTATTGAATACATCTCTCTCTACTACACAAAGAATTTCTATAGGATAAACTTCAGTTTTGAAGTGCAAATGATACATTGTCAATATATTTAATAAACTATTCATGTTATAGTTTAAACTAACTTCATTGAATATTGACTCATTATTTGAACTGAATTTTGTGAAATCAACAACTGGTGAACTTAAATCAACTCCATTGAATATTGATGATGCAAATGATTCATTATCATGTTGTTGAGTAACATAAAGTTGATGTCTAGGTATTTAAAGAAAAAATGTAGAAATTTGTTTCATTACAAATAAGCATAAATACTTTAGAATTCAAACTAATTTCACTAAAAGTATAATAAAATATGAGATCAAGTGACTTTAAAGAAATAGGCTAAACATGATTTACAATATTGAATGGCTTCAGATAGATAATGAATAAAAAGTATTTCTCTTTTGACAATTTTCTTTGTTCTAGTTTAAGATTCCACAGCAATATGTACACATGTTCCCACTAGAAAACGAATTCGGGAACTTGTGACCTTGTTATAAATTTGTTACTTTAATACATCTGAGTTAGAATTTAATGATCCTAATGTCTTGAAACAACATTTAAGAGTTCTGTGGTTGTTTAATTGAGTCCAGTTCATGATGTATAATATCGTTAAATTTAACAATCTTGACAAGTATCTTATCTTAATAATCAACAATAGTTAAACAAACAATGTATCTCACAGATTGAAATCATGAGTCAGTTGAAGCTAGACCACCATTGAAAACCTGGTGGTCTAACATCAATCGGTTCATAATCTCAATCAATGTATCAACACATAGGAACAATATTAACTAATACAGAAGAACAATAAGAAAAGAACTGTGCAAAGACTTTTGCATTATAAATATGTACACGGATTTAAGATGAGATTTTAAATCATATTATCATGATATAGTTATGCAATGAAATCTATCTAGTATAATTAATCTTTTTTAAATAACTAGAAAATGTTTTTTAGTCATTTTGAATTTACACAGATAAAATAAATAAAATATAGAATTATAACTCTGTGATAGGGGCCCGAATAGCTCACTCGTTGGAAGTATATGACATACCGTAAACAACGTCACAGAGTAGAATAAGAAAATTGCCAGGGTTGTTTCCTTGTTTCGGGGCTCCAAAGATCTTGGTAAGTAACAGTGGTATTCAGTTTATGTCATCTGCTTTTAAACGGTTTTGCAGCGAAAATGGTATAACGCATCTACAGTCGAATAGCCAGGCAGAAAGATTCGTGAATACAATAAAAAGAGCTCTGGTTAAAGGGGGAGGAGAGGATATTTCAGAACAAGTGGTCATTAAATGCTTAATGTCTGACGGAGTTACCCCTAATCCGGTAGTGTCACAAGGAAAGTCACCAGCTGAGTTTATGTTCGGAATGAAAATTCGAACAGTATTTCACAGTAAGTTGCCACCCAGTAAGACAACTAAGTCCACGAACGAGTATTGGACGATAACTTGCAGCTCCCAGGAGGGTGAAAGGGTGCTTGTGAAGTCGTATCAAGGTGATACGAAGTGGGAACCAGGGGCTATAGAAGGTCGGGATGGAAATGTACTGTACTTAGATCAGAGAAATGTCGAGACATGCATAAGGCATATAAATCAAATTAAAAGGGATGGCAGAATATTGGTCACACAAAGCTGACTCCCGTTTCAAATGCCCGTGGAACCATGTCCAAGAAACCCTAAGGAGAACGAATGTATAAGATATAAAAGACTAAAGGGCAAAGTGGCACGAACTTAAAGAGTGATAGATCTCAAGAGGAATGCGTTAATCAAGTTTCAAGTGGACCGGAGGAAAAAGCTTTACAGAATAGACTTTAAAGAGGAGAGGTGTGAGGGCAGTACGGATAGCCCAGTGGTGACATCACTGAAGCTAGGTGACATGAGATCGAATCCGTTAGGAAGCATCAATTCCCCCAAACTCAACCAACGTTTTTTATACCTAAGAACATGTTAAACTAACATATGTTAATAAATCTTTAAAAACATAGATGTTTATACGTTTTCTGGCACAATAAATCATCTAATTTATGACACAAAATATTCCGTACACGCGTCCTATAAATTTTTATGTTTACATAACGACTCAAAATTTGCCTATTAATCAAGTCGGTTCTTGAGGTACTAGTGCTTTTTTTAATTAGTAGATCGAAAGCTATGAACATCAGTTCCGAGTCAACAAAAACGTCTTGTCAATTCTTTTATACTATCTCCGGTAAGTTAGAGTATTACATTACTCATGATAACAGTGAAGAATTATGCTCCTGACACAATCAAAGAGTTATTCGCCAACTGTTTACTTCAATTATGCAATAATAAACGTTTGCATGATTGTATTCAATTCCCTTGTTTCATTGTAAAATAATAATGTTAATTTATCAATATAGAATAAATAATCACCTGGACCAAGCAAATGATTTTGTATATTTATCACTGAAAATTGTTTTAACTTGACCCTTATTGATAATTGATAAACATTTATCATTTTTATAATATTGACTTGTTTTATTTAAATCATTCATATTAGAATTTGTTGAACAGATTAAATATTGTTTAGGAAATTCAAATTTTGTTGAAAATCTTGCTTCCATTTCAGTTTTAGGAATATCTATAGATAACCATAATAGTTCAGAATGATTTGATTGATTCTCTGTTAATGGTCCATGTATTTTGACTACTTTAATAAAATTCTCCTTATTCACAATATCTACATCAATTTTATAATGAAATAAATGATGATGTATAACCATATAGATTGGATTGATTACAGCTGGAAAACCATATTTTGAATTATATTGATAAAAATTTAATTCTACATCAACATGTATGTAACCAGTTGGTGTTACTGAAAATTCAATAACACCAGATGAATAGAAAATTATATCGAATATATAATCATAATTGAATAATGTTGATATTGTACGTACAACTAATGAATAACTTGTTATACCAAGACCAAAATTTGTATATTTTGCTTCACCTTTTTCACCAAAATGATCACTAATATGAAATTCAAAATGTCGTCTAACTGGACCATTATGAGGATTAGTTTTCCATTCAAATAAACAAATACCATTTTTTATAAATTTAGGACCAGTTTCACCTGAATCAATCAATCTCACTGGTAAGTAGATAGCATCTTTTGGACAGTCCAAACCTGGACTTAGTTCTGAAGTCATACCGCCTATTCCAAACATTGATTCCAACGATGTCATTGCTTGCATAAATGGGGATTTACCCCAGTATGATGTTACTGTTTCCTCTAAACCAGCTTCAGATATCAAACTAACATTTGCAAAGTATACATTAAACACTCTAAGTCCTGTATCTCTTCTAACAGTTACATGAAAATCCCATCTGTCATATTGTATTCGACGTTTCCTTACGTGAATTAAACTGTCTTTACGATTAGTTGTTTGAGAATTACTTTTCATGAATCGATTGTTATGTGTTGTGGATTGCTGACTGGGACCCGGCTTTAATTGGTTATGATACATATCTACAAACTGATGCTTGATCACTTTAAGTTCACCAGAATGATATTTACTCAAAAGTTCTTCAATCGATGTGAACATCTGACCTTGAAACCAAATACTTAATAAATCCCACTCATCTGGATCCAATGATGTTTGATCAATCTGTACATAAAAGTATTTAAAGGGAAAAATATAGTTATGTTTATTATACAGATTTCAGGATTCTATTATTCTAAGTTATATACATATAATTGATATATGTACTTGAAACGATATTCCTACGAAGAATTGCTATTCAACAAACTGTATTCCAGGTCTTTCAGTTCAAAACGTTATTGACCCTCGAAGAATTTGAGTAAAGGTCTTTAAACATTTTCAGTTTTCCGGCTTTTTGCATTTACTATATATATACGAGCTACCGTCTAATTAGATTAGAATTCTATCACTGAAGATTATATTCGTCTATTAACTGTATTCATCATTAGTTCAGAAAGGCGATAAACTAATTATATCAATATGAACTAGAAGATTTATTAAACATGGAATACTTTGCTTAGGATAAATAAATCAAAACTTCATATCTACAGAAAATGCGTTGATATACTATTAGTGATCCATTTTGGAAATTGTTAGATTTCTTTGAAATCATGAATGGATCTAGGCCAGACCACCATTGGAAAACTGGGAGCATTGAATGGTCGTCTTGTCTTGGTGTGAGACTCTTCAGCAGTGCGCACCTAAGGACTGAGGACCAAACGCTTTAAAAGGCGGATTGCTCGAAACTATTATTGAGCTATACTATAACTTCTTAAAGTGAAGAATTAAAAGTTATGATACATTGATCATCGGTTCTGTTTTTTTGGAAACATCTAACCATAATAGCAAAAGTGTTATTTAATTACTGAAAACGACTGTTTGGTATACGCAAATCAAATTGAAAGTGTGGTCCGTTGAAGGATGATCACCGCTATTAAAAACATAAGAAAAACATGATCGATATGTTTTTGGGAAACCTACGGACTCTCACTTTATATTCTGCTAACTAGATTTTTTCCTTGTTCTTCAACAAGTTTACAGGGCAGTGTTTAACCGTCAGATAAACACTAGTATCAATAAGAAAGGCGATTTCTAGTAGGTGAACATGATTCTATTTATATGTGTGAACTTGCAAAAGAATTTGACGAAAATAAACGGAATTGTTTCTCAAAAAACGAAATATTCTTTCACACGGTTGGATCATCGAAAATCTGAAAGTTCTGTACAGTTGTTTTCTATTAGTTTCAAGCTACTCAATAAGCTTTATTTATATGCATATTAAATTCGAAGCCAAAAACTTCTGATTTAATGGTGATTAACTTACTTTTAGACCACTTATTCGGAATCCGGTGACTAAAATTTCAAACTTCTCATAATATCGTCTATTACTCATATTGAAGTTAGTCAGCAATAAGAACACAATTTGTTTAGCTTTACTGGTTAACTTCCTTACTGCAAGTAATGAAGGTCTTGAGTTCATTTTTGTTTAGAATCGTGCGTGCTTATTTCTAAACTCTGTTCAACCAAAATGAAATAAATTGATATTCTTATGTGTTTGATAGTTCTTCAAATAATGACAAACTTAAATTGACAAATCCCGCCAACATTTTAAACGTTCATAATATAAGAAATGAGTCAACACTTTATTTCATGATTATTGTTAAATATAATTATTTATTTATCCTACTGTAAGAATAGCTCATTGAATCTTCATATGGTAATTATGATTAGATGACTCCAATGAGAAAAAAGTTAAAGTCATAAATTACTAATAACTACTTATTTTTTGATTGAAATCATGGGTCAATTGAAGCTAGACCACCATGGAAAACCTGGAAGCACTGAACGGCCGTTTTGTCCTAGTATGGGACTCCTCACCAGTGCGCTTCTACGATCGCGCACCACGCGAGATTCGAACCCAGGACCTACCAGTCTCGCGCCATGCGCTTAACCACCTAGACCACTGAGCCGGTATCCAGTGGCGATAGTGTCTAACATCAACCAATCCACGAAATCGCGCGACCATCTTCCATTGTACTGAGGTAGACACCTATCTCTACCCGACATGGATTAGCTCCACTGGTCATGGCTTCTCACCAGAACTCCGAGAATTTTCTCACGAAGCCAGTCACTAGTGAGCACATGGTAATTATCAGTTTAGGGATTGTGAAGGTTACCATGTTTTTGATTGAGATCATGAACCGATTGATGTTAGACCAGTAGGAGTCCCATACTGGGACGAAACGGCCGTCCAGTGCTTCCAGGTTTCCCATGGTGGTCTAGCTTCAATTGTCTCATCATTTCAATCAAAAACTTAACAATCTTCACAACCCCTAAACTGATAACTACTTATTTTTTTGGTAGCAGCATCAATAAGTACTTTATCATACTAATTTTAGAGTTCGCATACTGATTATAACCTATAATCTAAGGAGCAATTAGCACCCTGTGCTACTAACATTATATATATATACAAGTAGTGTAAATAAAACTTACATGAAATTGAATATCTACAGGATATTGTATAAATGGAATAACTTGTCTGCATAATCTTATCCATATACGACGTCTTTCTGGTGCTTCAAGTGTAATCAATGGTGAAGCAAATATTGGTATTAAACAACTTGGTCTTCCTTTAATATTATTATTATTATTATTATAAATTAATTGTTGGCATAATGAATTTGTATTATTTAATTTATTATATTTATATAACCAATAAGGATTCAATGGTTTATTCATAAAATAACTTGCTGAATAGGTTTCTTCAATAATCATATTTATACGATTTATTTGTATCGTTAAATAATCTAATAAAATTTTATATTCAATATTCAATAATGGTCTTTTATAATATGGATATATATTTAAAAGTTTAATTATTTTTGGTTTATTTAATGGACCAATATAATATTCTTTAATTTTAGGAATTTTTAATGAACCAAATAAGATAATTACAATGCCATATCTTTCTAATTGAGTTAATTCACCATTATTATTATTACTATTACTATTATTACTGTTATTACTATTGTTATGTAATGTATGGAAATAATTGAAACGTTCTGTTTTATTAGGAATATATAAATTGAAACTTAATAAATAATTCATTTTAAGTTGTTCAAACCATGTTTTATTAATGAATAATTGATTATCAGTAGTATATTTATTAAATGCATAAAATGAATTAAATTTTAATTTTAAAAAATTGACAACATTTTCATATTCTTCTTCATTTGGTTCATCAAATAGGCCAAAATCTAAATTTATATTATTATTATTATTAATACTATAATTTTGTTTTAATGTATGATTTTCAATTTGATTTATTGTTTTAATGAATATATTCATATGTGAATCATTTGTATTTGTATAATTATTGAACAATGAATTGATTGTATATGATGAGTATAAAGTTGAATGAGATGAATTTGAGCAATGATTTGATTTTGATGAGATTATATTATTTTGTATATAAGTAGTATTTTTATTTATTAGATGATTTGTATTGCAATGAATTAAATTATAACATAGAAAATATATTGCTGGAAATATAATACAAATAACAATCAATAATAGTAAGATTATCCTGTAAAAGAAATGAAACATGTTGTTTGTAATTTAGAGAAATATATTCTTATTAGAAGTATTAAATTTATGTAAAAATAATATTGACTCAATTAAAAAAGAGTATAAACTAAATGAAGAGATTATAAGGAAAGATGGATAGTGGCTAGCAGTGGGATCTAAGAATCGTGATTCGTTCTATTTGGGACTCGTCAGCTGGATGTACTTGCATCTCAGAGTTGATGTCTATTCTAGGACTCAAACTCGATAACATTCGTTTCAAATGCTATTCCATTATCTAATTGGCTATTGTGTCCTAAAAGCCACTTACTTATGCAATGGGGTGAGTTAAGGCAATATCGAGGGAATTCATACAGTATTCACGTATGTTAATAAGAGACTGATCAATTGCAGTCCTAAACATCATTGGAAAGATTCGAGTAAACAATACCAAATGAATTTAAACGAAGAAACATTTCAATTCTAATTATCTTTAATCTTTGATTTTACATATAAATGAGTGAATACTCATATTGATATATGAAACTGATGAAGTGGAATAGATTACTAAAAATTAGCCATTTGATGGTATCTCAATGAAAAAATAGTAAATAACGTACATTGAACATTAAAACTAGAAATATTGTTTCCATGATAAAGGATTAAAAGATTATTGATACAACTTGCTGATGAATGTCAACTAAGAAAAAATATTGGTTTCCTACCACTTACCTTCAACTAAACAACATGAAAACCTAGTGCATGATAATTAAAAGTAACTTACACTAGTGGCTAAATTACAACCTGATAAACTGAATTCAGTTCATGCTAACTAGCAGGTCACATGATATTCATTACTACTATGTGATTAGTTACCCTGAATTCCTGTCATATGGATATATATATATATAACAGATATTCTGTTGTGATTCTCGAAAATGTGTCTGAAACCAATAATAATACGAATAATCAATTAATTAACTCTTACATATTTAGTAATCACAAATCTCAAATGAATGAACACATGGAAGATGTTTTTTGAAATAAATCCTTAAGGTTATAAATCACTGATGAATAAAAACTTTGAAACATAGTTAATTGTTTCGAGCTGTCATAGAAACTTTAGTACCTAACACTAGAATAAATTTGTAAATATTCCAAACCAAATCAATGAGAATCAAATGAATAGTTATCTATCAGTTTAGGGGTTGTGGAGATTGCTAAGTTTTTTTATATTGAGATCATGAACCGATTGATGTTAAACCACCATTGAAAACCTGGAGGCTCTGGACGGCCGGTTCGTCCTATTGTGGGACTCCTCAGCAGTGCGCATCCACGATCCCGCGGGCGGGATTCGAACCCAGAGCATTCAGACCGAATCAATGAAAATCAAATGAATATTTATCTGGTAGATTATGTCGAATTGAGGGATCTCTCACAAAGAGAATATTCTAACAAATTAAAACAAAACACTTATGAAGAATTTTCTTTTCATACACTTTTTGCATTAAACCTATTCAAATGTTTATTTGATAAAGATATCCTTAATTGAAGAAGGATCGTACATTAGATGCACTAACATAGATAAACTGACTCAGATAATTTCTTGCGTAGTTTTCTATCTTACTAATACTAATCTAAACCATACAATTAGTTAAACAAATAAAATTATTCTCAGGATTACTTTGTCTTCTATTATAAGATGAAGTTTTTATTTTAAGTAATGAATAACTTTATCAAAATGCAAATAAGGTGATCTTGAAATATCATATAAATATTTTGATTATTAATTCTTTAGAATGAAAAATGTACGTCTTACTAAGTTTTCACATGGTATAAACAAATACAGTTCATTTCTGATAAGATACGTCTACTGAAGTCAATATTTCCATTATTTAAAATATACAAAGTTTTACTGAGGTTATGATTGATTAATAGTAGTTCAGATATGTAGATTATCAGTGAGATTAAAATATATGTAAAACGTTTGTACGGGATCTAAGTGTTTGGTTTTAAACAAGTATTTGATGATAATGAATTAAAACTTAAAGGTACATGTTTTTTTAAAAAAGGAATTTCCTCAGTTATTTGAACTACTATGACTGAATTAGATACTTCTAAGCATTTCGTCCTAGACAGGACTCGCTAACTGAATATGCTTACACTTACGTGTTTGATGTTTATATCGAGACGCATCCATTTCAAATGATCCACTTAGTTATCGAATCCAGACAACCACTGCTTTGTGTAGTGGAGATAAATTTTATTGCATTTGTACATATGAAACGGATTACTTATGAGTATTGAAAAGAAAGTAGTAGAATAACTTATATAAGCGAACAATATTGTTTTTAATTACATATTTATCTGACTCTACCTCAATATACAACAATATGTAACTATTTTGACATACCAATATGAAAAATATTAAACCAATCAGGATAATCTACAACTCAATGATAACAAGGAAAACGGATTATGTAACTATATGTGAAAATTATATTTGAAATAATCTCAGCGATTGAAATTTAAATAATTCCAACGTTTCGTCCAGCTAACTTATCTGGACTTCTTCAGGGTAATAGTCAAAATCAAAATCATCAAAGAAATATATATATATATACCTTGAAGAAGTCCAGACAAGTTAGCTAGACGAAACGTTGGAATTATTTAAATTTCAATTGCTGAGATTATTTCAAATATATGTTTCACATATAATGACTTCTTTGTACTCGGCGCCCAAGTTCTGTCAAACTATTCGTTTTAATCTTGACAAATATTCATATAGATTATGTAACTGTTTATAATTCACTAAAAGTACAAATTGATAATGAGGTGATATGTATCGTAGTAAATATATGAATAACAAACACCATGATAACATGAACAAATATACTGATATAGGTTAAAGCTTTAAAAAAAACTTATCAATAGAATAATCACTAAAATTACGCAATGAAAATTTCTATATGAATAATCAAATTAAACAATGTAAGGAGTAAAGAGGTGATACGTAAAGTTGGGTGGGGGACTATAGATAAATATATCTGTAATCGACTAGTAGATTTAATTGTGAAAACTCTGTAGAATAATTTATCAACTATTATTCAATCAAGGAAGAGTTAACGAGATGTTACTAATTTGACCTACTTTCTATATCAGTACGTTTATTTATTTTATCATGTTGTTTATTATTCATTTATTTGCTATTGAACCTATCACCTCATTATCGATTTGTACTTTTCGTTTATTATAACTAGCAATAGAATCCATTTGGTATTGTTTATTTGAATCTTTCATTTGATGTTCAGGACTGCAACTGATCAGTCTCTTATTGGCATATGTGTATCCTATCCGGATAACCTTGATATTTCCTTAATTCACATGCAATGTAAGTAAAGATGGATGGTGGCTAGCAGTGGAATACAGGACTCACGTTTTTTCTTATTTGGGACTTGTCAGTTGAATGTACCGGAGTGCACATCAACTCTGGAATGAAGGTACATCCGGCTGACAAGTCCTAAATAGAATGAAACGCGCATTCTCGATTCCACTGCTAGCCACCATCCATTTTAACCATAGAATCCGTTATCATTGAGCTGCAAATTATCCCGATCGGTCGGATATTTTCCATACATGTGTATACATAAGTATTGTTGTATATTACGGTAAAGCATGATCGCTATCTCGTTGCAAAAAATATTGTTCACTTCTATATATTATTCTGATTAACACTATCGGAATTTCTAATATACCTGCCATATATCAACACACTATTAAGTGAATAATCCTTTATGATTTCTGATATTCCAATTCATTATATTCTGTATATTCATTAATCATATTGCCATATTTTATGAATCATAAATAAACTAATGTATTAATCTGCTACTTGATAGTAACCAGTGTTACAGTTTATAACCGGTATCGACTCATTTCATTCAGAGGTTACATTGGATTTTCGATTGATAAATCTTAACTATCATGGAAAGGACATGTTACATGTGAATTTATGTTTCTAAACTATTCACCTAATTACAATCCTTAATGGTTTCATTATAAACTTAAAATAAATGAAGTAGTGGAAAAAAATAATAATAAGTTAATGGAAAAATCTTAAGATTGACATTTATATTCTATGTCTCCAAGGTATTTACAAAATACTTTCTTTTTTCACGTAAATATTCTTTACTTTAGGAAAAAACGACAAAAAAATAATCAATAAAATAGTTCTTCGCTTTCGAATATTTTCATAAGAATTTAGATTTAGTTTTTGTTATAGTTAAAAGAAGATTTCGGAAGCTTCAACTATTTCATTTAGTCTTAAAGATCATCTAAGAATGTCAATGAAATTGCTTTGCAATATCACTAATTACATACGATTTAAACCAAGATATTTCATTTGTAACAGAATGTATATATATATATATATATATACTTCAACATAGATACTAAATTTCCTGTTTTGTTTACCATTTGTTTATTTATGTTTTGAATTTTTATCAACAACCTTAATCTTTGGTCATGTTAACCTGTAAATACCAAGTATAAACATCTAAATAGTTATAATAGATTTTACTGAGTGATCATCATCCAATTTATTTATTTAGTTGTCAGGTAGAATTTAAAGTTTATTTGTTTTTAATAAATGTTGACTAATAATGTTTGAGATTATGAACTTTAAAACTGTCAATGTATTTATGAATTAAAAATTTTATCTGAATTATTATTCATTGAAATTTTGTAATTATTGAAGTTCACTCCGCCTGGAGTCCCTCCAGGGGCTACTGCCGGTACCAAGCCCGGATAAAGGAGGAGGGTTGGGCATGAGGTTAACAACCCCATCCCGTAGAAAATTAACTCGCTAAAAAAACGCTAACCAGAAAAAAATTATTCAAAATCATTCAAATTATTCAATAATCAATAAATTCATTCAATAAATTAATCACTGATCAGTTTGATTGAATGTATCTTCTTCCAGTTGATAAGAAGAAAAGATCTAGATACCCCACCCCTCAATCATTCACCTTATAATTAAACAAAGAGATACATTATACAAAACTATACATGCATACATAGAAGGTTTTTCTTAACTTATTTGATTCAGTAACCTTTTTAATATATATGATATTTTCAAAGCTAAGCATCACGATCATACAACATATATCTATCTCATTCAATTTATTTCACTAAGACTACGAAGCATAGTTCTGAAAAAGGGTAGGAAGATTGATTTTAGCAGAATAGCACAAATTGGTTTTATTTTGTTTAGTTCTCATCAGGTGCTTACAAAATGTAATATTTAAAAACCATAATTAATTAGTCTATGAAATTTATCTACCCTCTTGCTATACTATTGTGGCGTGAGCTACTTATATCCACATAAGTAGTATATGACGATAGTTAGGAATAGAATGTAGTTCAGTAGATCGAGAAGAAAAGAATGGAAACGGAAAGCATTTGGTATGAAAATGCAGAAGCAATGAAATCTGAGACGATGAACTGATATTTGCAAAACAAACAGTCAGGTTTGAGATAATGGATTAATATTTAGTAGATTAAGTATTACTGTATGATTCTCAGATTTTACTAAGAGATTCTGTAAGTTTGTGTATTAGGTACATTCGATTATCCAGGCCCGTATTCTTTTTCACAACACTATTACTAATATATAGCCATGTCAATTTTCAATCCAACCCCTTCATGTGAGCAACATGAAGCCATTTCGTAATTATGGTTCACACATATGAATACACATATTTCCGAGAATCAGTAAAACAAAGTGAATTATAAATCTGACCTTCGGTGGAAATTTTCATGACAATATGTTGCACAATTTAAATAAAATCAATAAAACTCTTAACTTCGTATCAGTAATTCTTTTTAATTTAAGGAGTCCCACAATAGGACGAAACGGCTGTTCAGTGCTTCCAGGTTTTCTATGGTGGTCTAGCTTCAGTTGACTCACGATCTCAACTATTTTATTAATATAAATAGATATCGTTTGAACAAAGATAACAGATTGCGGAGTACTATTAACCTAAAGTTAACTACCATCACAAATCCAGTAACAATCAGATAGACAATAAATATAAAATAGTTCTCAATAATTGTTACGTTGCCTTATACTTTTCTTAAAATGTAAATCAAATTTTCATTTGAATCGATTCAGTTTTACAGTCAAGTATCATCGCTGGCCGTTACATCAAGGCCTACGTATCCCTCTTTTAAAGTTTATATATAAGCTATATTAAATCATCTTTCCAGAAATATGGTCACATTTACTTGCCAAATGTTTTTGCAAGGCTCTACAGTATATACAAAACAACTACAATCCTTATTATAGTATACTGGTTAGCTCAGTATGGATAAAAATTAACACGAAAGTATTTAACGATTAACTTTAAAATAAGAAAAAAACTCCCTTAAGTTTCTGTCTTTTTCCTTCTTATATGTTATTAATCAATTATTACTCGATTGTTACAAGCAAATATATTGATGGACGACTAAAAAAATACTTACTTTAACCAATTCTTTTGAAGAAAACGTTTACTATTATTATTGTTACCATTATTTGGCACAATATCTGTTTTGTCACTGAATGGCGATAATTCTTGTGAATTTGAATTTTCTGGCAATTCTCTTTCAACATTTAACAGTTGATGATATTGATCATAATGCATTTCACTTGGTGATTTCAATCTGAATTCTGTTCCAGGCTAAAAAGGAATGGCAAACATATTCAATATTATCATAGTTTAAACCATGAACAAATTTAAGTTGGACAAACATTGAACGGTCATTTTGTATAGGAATTTTCAGTAGTATGCACCCACAATCGTGAACGCGAGAATAAAACCCAAAACCTTCACTCTCGTATGAGAACTCCCAACTTCTAGACCATTGACATTTTATATCAATCAATCCGTGGGATTACGGGACCCATTTCTACACATCCGACACAGTTTAACTCTGTTATTCACGGCTTCCCTCTGGAACTCCATGAGTTGTTTCCTGAATCTATCCAATGATGAAGTTGAAATACTACATAAAAATATTATGGTGTAGTAAACATGTATATACATATATATCAGTATGAGGGTTGTGGAGTTTGTTGAATTCTATTTTGATCGTGAACCGTCCTATCAGTGGTTATCTGACTTAGTTCATTTCGTGACCTCAGTAATATATATATATATATATATATATATATATATATATATTACAGGTCATAATGAAGTCATTCTGCCCTCTTTCATCTTCTTTATAAGATTTTACTAGTAATAATTAGTGTAATTGTATTGTGCCAATAGGGATTATTATGAATTTAATATAAATAATAAATGTATGTTGACTAGTTACAGTATAAAATACAATTACAAAGTCAAATTATAGATTCTATAGATAATTATTTACAGAAAGAAAACGTTTTATTTGGTATGATATAACTAAATAGCTGAATAGATTGATAGGTATCTACTTAACTTTAAGTCATTAAACAGTTTAGACCAACTTCTGAAATATGAATAATGAAATGTAGCTTAAATCTAAAATTTCATGGTTGAAGTTGAATGATATAACCATTAAATTGATGTGCAAATTTTTCTCCATAAAAATATATTCTTGTATGTGGTTAATTGAAGAAGAAATTACCATGACTGAACCAGCTAAGTATAAGTATAATTATAAGTATCAGTATACTTTATTTATATAACACTGGAATGAGTTATTTCCGATTGTATAATATAATATTGTATAGTACAAATAAATTAAATTGATTGATTGAAGAAAGCCAACTCAATATTATGTAATGTAGGATATAATAACAATAAATTCTTAATAGTGAATTTTTTCACAGATTAACATCGAGAGGACAACCAGGAACCTCTAGACAATAGTTTTATATTCGCACAGTTGAATTTACGAGTCAATCTAGGCTAATCCATCATTCAAAACCTGGGAGCACTAGACGAACGTTCAGTTTTAGTATGATATTCCTGAGAAGTATACATCCATGATTCCGGACCAGAGGGACTCTAACCCATGACATTTGATCTCAAGTGCAAACGCTTAACCTCTAAACCACTGGTTCGGTATCCAGCAGTGTTATTGTCTTACTTGAGTCAATTCATGATCTTGTGTAATCCTTCATTCGTTGTCGGAGGTGGATGACTGTCTCCATTTTACTTGTGAATTCAGATGTTGACATACCACAACCTTTACATTAACACTGCTGGATACCGAACCAGTGGTCTAGAGGTTAAGCGTTCACACTTGAGATCAAATGTCCTCGGTTCATGTCCACTTGGTGCGGGATCGTGGATGAGCACTTCTGAGGAGTCTCACACTACAACATAATGGCCATCGAAAGTCTTCAGGTTTTCAATGGTTGTCTGGCTTAGATTAACTCGTGAATTCAACTGTGAAAATACTACAATCTCCACAAATCCCTATACTATTTTATATTAGCTTAAGATTTAGCAACAATTCACAATTGTAGCCTTGCCACAAAATCAAATGTATTAAGCAATTTAAATGGATTACATGTCTCTAAGTTCAGTATAAACAACAAAAAGAAATCAAAATTCAGAACTAACGAACTGTAATCTGCAAAATAAAAATTGCAGTAATTACCAGAAAATCAGAACTAGCCAGTAAAAAATCATTTATAACTTTTTAATATTCATTAACGGTCACTTTTTTCTTTGGTCACTATTGTTGTTATAGTGAAAATTGTTCTGAAAAATGCTTAAATATGCATACTACTTTATATTATGTAACATTGTTTTAATAAAGTTTAAAATCAATTTTGTACTGTTAAAATCTCATTGATGAATTCCGTTTGAATTTATGTTCATTTTCCTATACACATTAAGAATTCATCTTTAAATTTATCGTTTCGTTAGTTAATTGAAGTTTGAAATACAGATACATAAATTATGATTCATTTGTCTAAAACCGAAAAAAAACATATAGCTCTAAAGGTCCCATATCTATAGAGCCACATTTTTTAATTGATTTCTTAATTTCAATAGTTGAAATCATGAGTCAATTGAAGCTAGACCACCATGGAAAACTTCGAAGCACTGGACGATTAGTCTGTCCTAGTAAGGGACTCTTCAGCAATGCGCATCCACGATGCCCCCCCCGAGATTGAAAATTTCGTGGATTGGTTGAAGTTAGACATTAACACCGTTGGATGCTGGCTCAGCGGTCTAATTGTTAAGTGCTCATGCGCGAGACTGACAGGTCCTGAGTTCGAATCTTGAGAGGCGGGATTATGGATGCACATTACTGAGTCACATACTAGGACGAAACTGCAGACCAGTGCTTCCAGGTTTTCCATGGTGGTCTAGCTTCAACAGACTCATTTTGGTGGAGTTTTGTTCTCTGAGCTGGGTGGTTTGGTCGTGGAGCTTTCATCGTCCTTCTGAACGACATCATCAGCACAAACTTCCAGCTCAGAGAACAAAACTCCACCACAAATCTTCTCCACCATCTCAACAGACTCATGACTTCAACTATTAAAATTACTAAAATCACCACAAAACCCCTTCTGATTTCTTAATTAACAATAAATCATAAAAAAGAAGTAAATAATAATAATCACCCTTTAAAAACAAACGATGTACTAATATCACTATAGAATTAATTAACTTTGTAATTATTTTGTAAATTACTAATTAAATTATTACTTACCATGTTTTAATTATTCATTCATAAAGTTCATTAACGACAATAAAATTCAATTTTCATTATTTAATATTCAATTTTAAATGTTTATTGACTTATTTATTTATTTATTTGTCTATCCAATTGGAAGAAAATAAAAATAGATCTCCTTTTTTTTCTCTTTTTTTTTCTTCTTACATAACAATTTATAGTTGTGTTGATTTTTCTTCACCATTAGTGTATTTCACTTTTTAACTAAATATGTAACCCATTCAAGAATTATATTCATTGGTTCAATACAAATTATGATATTCATCCAATCATTCCATCATATGCTTATATATATATATATATATATATATATATATATATATATATATATATATATATATATATATATATATATTCTTAGCCACTGTTTAATAAAAAGTTTTTAAAAAGAAAATAGTATGTTTATTCCAATAGTACAAATCAGACAAAGCATCTATTATGTAGATGTATATATCTAACTCCATTAATAACTATGTATATACTAAACAGTTTAATGATGAATATGAATAGTATACATATATTATGTATATCTAACTGATATGTAAATGACATGCTACAACATTTTATTACAGAAAAATTCTTTATGTGTAATGATATATGTAAATTTCTTTTAAAGTATTTCTCTTCTTCTGAAAATAAAGAAAAAAAAAGAAAGGTTATTTCTGTTTACTTATAACTATACATGAATGATTCTCTTAGATACATAATGATAATGTAAAAATTTTACCAAAAAAAAGAAAAGAAAAGAAAAAAATGACTCAGATTATCCTATTCACTTTAGTTATAGACAATAAGAAGAATGAACTAGACTATGTAAGTAGATATTCATTAATATTTAAGTATGTATGTATATATAAATGTTTGTGTAATCAGAACCATTCAATAAGGGTAAAGCATATCTAAATTAAAAATTCTTTTCTTTCTCTTTTTTTTAAAAAAAAAAAGAAAAACACGTCAAACTGTTAGTAAATTATTTCAGTTCATTGAAGACAATAATAAAATTAAAATGAAAAAATTGAAATGAATAAATATGACAGGGAATTTTTTCTTTATTTAAATAGATGATAATGATATTGTGGGACTCCTTGACAGTGTGCATCCATGATCCCATCCCGCGAGATTCGAACCCAGGACCTATCGATATAGCGTGCGAGCGCTTAAACTTTAGACCACTGAGCCAGCATCCAACGGTGTTAATGTCTAACTTCAACCAATCCACGAAATTGAACCAATGTCCAACACTGTCTTAGGCGTGAACCCCGTGGGGCGGGATCTTGGATGCGCACTGCTGAGGAATTCCACAGTAGGACGAAACGACCGTTCAGTGCTTCGAGGTTTTCCATCGTGGTTTAGCTTCAATCGATTCATGAACTCAACTATTAAAAATTTCTATAATATCCACAAAAACTCTTTTGATAATGATGTTGTTTATAATTCTGTAATAAATAAATGTTAATAAAAATAAGTATACCTTTCTATATTATGACAAGGTAACTTAAATATAATTATTCTACATAATTGTACAGTTTGAAGTTGTTTTTTCTGAATTACTTATGTAACTAGATAGTTAAGATGAGAATTATATGCTTATACTTCATTCACAATTGATTGATCACTAGTTGGTGATCAGTGTCATATATGTCAGGTCCTTCTTGGTGTAGATCGAATCCTATCGATCATGTTGCAATGTGGCCACTAGTCTAGGTGACTCGACATTGCGTGCACTATGTTAAGACAGAATGGTGGTTGGAGGTAGTCAGCAGGAAACCCTGGACCCGGGTTTCATGCTCTTTGGCACTCGTCAGCAAGGTATGTTTGTAATCTTGAGGGAACTGGTGCTCCCTGACATAGTGCACGTAACGTGCAGTCACCTAGACTAGTGGCCACATTGCAAATTGGTCGATAGCATTCGATCTTCACTAAGAAGAACTTGACACACATGACACTGATCACCACTCAGTGATTAATCAATTGTGAATACATCTCAATCCTACGGGAGATCGGTCGCGGCTCGGATAACCCAGTGGTAACGTCCCTGACTGTGAAGCTGGGTGACAAGGAATCGAATCTGTCAGGGAGCACCAGTTCCCTCAAGATTACAGGTACACCTTGTTGACGAATGCCAAAGAGCACGAAACCAGGGTCCAGGGTTTCCTGTTGACTACCTCCAACCACCATTCTAGCTCATGCCTCGTTGTCTAGTACGTGCAGTTATGTTTTGAAGTAGGTATATATTCTTTTAATTATTATTCAATCAATAATTGGACAAACGTTTGTTAGTAATTGAAGTGAAATTAAACTATGATTCTTGAAAATAAAGTAATCTTGACAGTAGGGAGTGTTTTTTTAGTGATAATCTCCTTAATTGCAATGTGAATGATCGGTTAGGAGAATAACAACGCAATGATAATATGCAGCTGTATTATCAAATAAAATGGAGCTTACACTGAATAGATTTGTTACTGAATAGTAAATTTGTCAGTTTAGATACTACTTAGATCTATATGATGCATTCAATAAATAAATAAACTGAAACATTGGAAAAACTCATAAAATTCATGGAATATTACAGGTTATTCATAAGTATAAAATGATAAAGAAAATAAAGCTTTATTAACAAGATTGAGCTTCTCAGTAAACTCTAAAGACTGTAAAGATTATCTAACACTAGAATTATGAACTATATTTTGTGTTGATAAAAAATCAATATTTTGTAATCTCTTTTTTGTGCCTATCATTAATTCACAGTCGAGACAATTGCCGGTGACCTTAATCTACTAAAAATTATCTGCTTTTACTGTTGTTGGATAATATTTTTGGTTGAAAAAATTAAGTGATGTAGTATCTAAAATCTCCGCTCTCTAAAGATTTATGGATTTAACAAGTGTTTTGAAACGAATAGAAAGTATTTTGAAGGGGATAAGATTAACATACTCTATATTCTATTAAAATAAAATTTTTATGACCATAGTTCTCGAATTTACTGAACAAACTACTTATTTGTGATGTTCCGTAGTCAAATATTAGGTCTAGCTCTTTTAGGGGGATTTGTAGTTTAAATGTAATGCTCACTTTTGGAGTATCTTAACGGATATTTTAAAGTTTACAAACATTTTGTTTATTGCTTCCCAGAACTCCTTAATCATTTATTTACAACATCTGACAGCTTCAATTAAAAACATGTTACTAGATACTTGAACCTCAGTGCTTCAGCATTTTTGATTGAGATCATTAATCGACCAAGTTTAGACCACTGTTCAAAACCTGGAAGCCACGGACGGCCGTTCCGTCCTAGTATGGGGCTCCTTAGCAGTGCGCATACACGACCCTGCACACGGGGTCCGGAATCAGAACCTTTGGTCTCGAGTGAGAATGTTTAACCTCTAGACCACTGAGCCAACATCCAGCAGCGTTAATGTCTAACTTCAACCAATCCAATACAGTAGTTGTTTGTCAAAATCTGTCTGGGGTAGGTTTTGTTAAAACAACTAGTTACAGATTCAAAACAACGTCACAATATTATAAATGCTTAGTCATAAGATCTGAAAATTAGTTAGGAGTTATTTTTACATAGTTAAGTTGTATTTTTCTCTGGTCGTCCATCAATCAGTAATCAAGTTATTTGTCTGTAAATTTCACTCGTCATTTCCAGTAATTCATATGGCCACTTAGTTCTAAATAATCTAGTTACAAATCAATCGATCTTCCACTCAAACATTCTATGATACATCTCAGGATACTAAACTATAGTGACACACTTGATGTGATCTACTCTGTAAACAGAGTAGTAATTAGTCATTAAAATTTGTTTAATATATTAATACACTTCCCTATCCACAGTTACGACTATTTAAATGTAATTCTTACTCCTCTGAATTAAACTTTTATGTAAGTACAATTTTCAAGTCTTGTCATCATTTAGAACTGTCTTTTCCTTCATGAAAGTTTGTTAATATTCTGTAAATACTTTTATAGATAACATCTACTTGTAGGTATCATTACCAAGGTTTGATTTGATAATTTCGAATAAATTGAGCATTGGGTTGATTGTTATAAATAAAAATAACATATTTGTAATATCCTAATGAGTAGAAAATTGGATTAATTTTAATTTGGTTATTTATTCTCTGAAGAATTGACTTACACTAAGTCACGAAACGTCAGAAAATCTAATTTTCTACTCATTGGGATATTACAAACATATTATTTTTATTTATAACATCTACTTGTGTTTATTTGACTATAAACCAAGTAGAGGTAGACAGTTCTATGTTTTTTTAATTTTAATAATAAGTCCGTTTACCAAGAGTTGGTTATTGAATCATTTTATTCGAATGGAAAAATCGGGTCTTAAAAGAAAAGGAATGAATTTCAAACTATAATACATTGTTTTACGGATCAAACTAGTCTGAATATATCAAACAATTTAATAACTCTATGTTACAAAATACATTAAAACGATATCAAAAAGCTTCAATACGAAATCATTTCTTACATTACATCCTATTAAGTGCAAAATTTGTAGTGTATCAAGCTTTTTTTTGCGTAGCATAACTCACTCAAGTCAAATAATCACTAGATTTCAAATATTACCATTAAGTTTATCGATAATAAGCTCATTACAAAAATTTGTAACTTCTGAATATATTCAACAAAAGGTTTAAAAAATCCTTTGAAAAGTAAAATTAACAAACTTTTCATGAACTGTGAACATTTTCATTATCATAAAATTCAGATGATCCATTTCAATAAAAAGACAAAACAACAACAGGGCGTTTCACCGTTAGAATGAATAGCAGAAATTGAAATGTCTTGTATTTAACATTTAAAAGTTATATGAATATTAAATACAAATAGACAATAAAATAGAACAAGAAAATGGTTTTTAATGATGAACTCAAAAGTTGACTCAAAAAAGAAGAAGAAGAAGAAGAAGAAGAAGAAGAAGAAGAAGATGATGATGATGATGATGATGATGATGATGATGATGATGATGATGATGATGATGATGATGATGATGATGATGATGATGATGATGATGATGATGATGATGATGATGATGATATGATGATGATGATGATGATGATGATGATGATGATGATGATGATGATGATGATGATGATGATGATGATGATGATGATGAAGAGGAGGAAGAAGAAGGAATAGAGGTAGAAGC